AAGGCAGCACTGAAGGCCCGTCGTGAACGTCTTGCCGCGTTCACTGCATCCCAGAAGTAAGATGGAATATGATGGTGTTTTAACACGTTTTTTTTCCTTCTTATTGGTTTCCTCCTGATTATGGATTGTTTGTTCTTTTATTTTTGAGCTTGTCTCTTATTTCATTCCATGGGATCTCTGCTTGAATGTTTATGTTTTCATTACTAGACGTATGAAGACTCCCCTTCTACTCGCCAATACTATTATTATCATCATTACACTAGATGTCAATAAGAGGAGAATAATGATGATGATAGTAGTATTGGCGGGTAGAAAGGGAGGAGTGCGATAAGGGGTGGTGTATTATAACTTCTTTTCTTTTTTTTTTTAACGTTTTTTTTTTTTTTTTCTTTAGGTTAGCGAAATCAATAGGGGTGGAATATAGGAATTATTTGCACTTGATTGACAGTCACTAGAGACGATGTTGCGTCGAACGGCCTTTCTCGCTCGTACGCCTGTCAGTGTATTTCTCCATGAGCCATCACAGCGCAAGACGTTTGATGAAACCCTGGCTCACTGCAGTGCCAATGGAACAGACATGGCAAGCGGTTTGAGTTCTGACTTTGCTCTTTTGCAGTCCAAGCTGTTGAAGTATCGTGTGGTTCGCCTCTGTGATGAGTTGCGGTATGTTCGGCATCATCCGTTAAGTAGTATGCCTTCTTTTCTGGATCTTGTGAAACATCTTGTGTTGTTAACAACTCTCTTTTTCTTATTCCGCAACGTCGGTCGGCTCTCTCTCCGGCCGCTAGTTGAACCTCCGAAAGAGCAGGAAGCGGTAGAAGCCGAAACACATGATACACAGGTTGAAGGAAAGAGTGAATGAAAACAATGAAAAACAAAAACAAAAAAAAAGTTAGGTTGATTTGATTGAGGAATACATGCTTACAAAATGGATATTTCCTTCTTTCTTTCTTTCTTTCTTTTATTTGTTTGTGTAATTTTGTGTTTTCATGTTTCTCAACCAAAGCGGATGGTGACGACAGTAGTGGACCATTTTATTCGTTTTTTTCTTTACTTATATTTTTGCTAATTAGCGAAAATGGCTGACAAGTTCTTTGTTGTTTGTCAAGTGAAGTGGCTTGAGTCCCTCACTTAGTAGTTGCGTAGGTGTCACACAAGCGCAGAGAGAGGGGGAGAGAGAGGGAAATAAGGTAGAGAGAGAGAGTGTGTGTGTGTGTGTGTTTGGTTGATGGTTGAATATATTTATTTATATATTTATGTATACGGAAAGGGGAATAAAAAAGAAAAAATATGTGTGTATTATTGTTTACAATCCTATTTCTTTGATTGTGTTGCGTCTTATTCTTCTTCCTCTCTATTTTATTTTTATTATTTTTTTGGGGGTTTCTATCACCTATTCTCTCCATACATGACAGCTCACTCCCATACGAGAGTGAAGCACGGAAGAAGAAGAAGAAGAGAGGTGTATATATATAGAGAGAGAGAGAGAAAAAGAAAAAAAAAAAAAGGCATACATACAAAGAAAAAAAAACAATAGTGTGAGATCTGGAAAATGGTACTGCGCCGCCTGTCGAAACAGCGAAAGATCACCAATCCACAGATGCTGCTCATGCACCGCCGGGAGCCGTACAAACCGTGTATGAAGGACCGCCACGAGATTGAGAATCGCGCCAAGTTGTATGAATTCGAGCGGAAGAATGCGGAGGGTCTCATGTTTGTGCCGGACACTGCACTTCCGCCGTGGAAGAAGTCACTCGCGTTGAACGCCACTGCGGCGGCAAACCGCATGAACTTTAGAGGCTTTCGTGTGCGTGTGGTGGACCGGCAGGATGAGCCGGGATTTCCAACACCATTTCGTTAACTACCATATATATATATCTGTCTGTGTGTGTTTGTGTGAGGAGATATTTTTCTCTTTGTCTGAATGTCTGTGTGTGTGTAGGCGTGTAATATATATATATACATATATCTCTGTTTGTCTCTCTCTCTCTCTCTCTTTGTGAGGGCAAATAAGTGTGAGTGTTAGTATGAGAAGAGAACGAAGAAGAAAGAAAAAAAAAAAAGTGTTAAAAGGTGTAATCTGTAGCGTATTATTATTGGTATTCGTTTTGCTTATTATTATTTTTTTTTCCTACCATGTTGACCCCTTTTGTTCTTTTTTCTTTTAAGCTAGTTTCCGAGGTGGAAAGAGAAACCACCTGACACCAGAAAATCCAAAGAAAGAAGATTCAAGGAAATAATAATAAAAAAGGAAGAAAATATTAGCACAATATATAATAATAATAATAGTAATAATAATAATAATTATTATTATTATTATTATTATACGGACCAATTGTAGGCAATACATAATGGCTGAGGATACTCTCCGTACGTACGCCTCAGATCTTTTCAGCGTGATAGAAGTAAATGCGGCAGGGGTGGTACCAGTCTCTAGTTGTGTGGAAACACTCTGTAGCCTTAACACAGACCTCACACGTGAGAAAGCCGAGGCGATTGTGAAGGAATTAAGACTTTCAGATCGACGTAATATTGATCGAAATAATTTTATTACAGCTGTACTTCGGGCTCTGGAATACAAATCTTATCAAAGTGCCAGAAGTGTTCTGCGTGATTTGATATTACGCTTTCGATTGACGTATCGAAAAAAATATTTAATGATGGATATAGGAGCCAATACACCAATTCCATCACTTACAGAGAATCCAACTGTAGTAGCACTTTTTAAAGAATTATTTTCTTCAGCATCACATGGTAAACCCTATATTACCCGTTCACAATTAGAAGAATTAGTTCACAATATTCTTCCTGATTCTCCGGCCAGTGCATGTAATCTTGTAAAGGCGGCTTTATCCGAGGATGAAAGTGATATGATTGGATTTTATGAATTTATAACAGTAATGCAGCCCATCACATCACGTCAATCACTCAGTGAATTAGTGGAACGATTTCGTAGTCGAAGAGAAGCACGGAAAGAACAAAGTTCTCTCCCATATGCTTCATTCCATGGTATACGCCCATTATCACAATCTTCTCTATCCGTATTATCATCATTATCATTATCAGCATCAGCAGTAAAATCAGTAGCATTACCTTTAACAGCATCTGATCCGATGGATATGGAGTTACAGATGTATCGCCGTTGGGATGCGGAAGCACAACGAGATTTTGATCAGGCATCATTTAAAGGATTTATTGGTATTACAAAAACAACACCATCCACTGTGGCTTCACATGATCGAGAAGTGATAATGGATAAGAGAGATTGTGAGAAGAAACTATCTGTAATGGAACGTGAGTTGATACATCTGCGGCGTGAGAATGAGTCCCTACGTCATGATCTCCTTCTGGCACAAATGCAAAAACCTTCTCTCCGTGTGGAGGAGGATGGTCGTATAGTGGAATTGAGTGGTGATGAATTTTTCAATAGAGAAAATGCCATCCTTCGTGAAGAACTTTCTGAAATGAAAGAATCTCTTCGTATGTATCAGGCCGAGAATGATCTTCATTCCGATATGACAAATATAGCTACATTACTTCGTAAGGGAGTTTCTTCAGCTGAAGTACTTCGTCGTGTTTATCCAGAGGAGTCAACATTGTTTAACCGCTACCAACATCTTGTACGGATGACAGAGAAAAGAAGAGATGATATTGCTCCTCCAGGCTCAGCGGCACGATTACTAATAACACAACTTGATCTTATTATACAAGGCTATCAAGCTCTTTATCGGAGATTTCGCGAAAATGTAGAAACAGATGGTGTCTTATCTACACCATCTTATTCTGCAAGGACTTCATCCGCTAGTGTTAGTGAAAAGCCTATCAGGTCATTGCGACCCCGACGGGCTCCATGGGTGGATTGAAACCAAAGAATACTGTATTTTTTTATTAGTTTTATTTCTTATCGTTAAACAGTTATTAGTATTATTATTATTTTTTTTATTTTTTTTTTTTGCCATTAATGTGTACACCGCAACAGTGTAGTTTTGTTATTTATTATCATTATTATTATTATTGGTTAATCAACAAAAAAAAAAAAAAAACTAGTGGTGGTGTTAAAGAGTTAGAAGAAGAAAAATGAAGGTAAAACGATTTTGGTAGAGTAAATTTATTTGTTTTCTTGCTTTGAGAAGCATGTATACATGGTTTCCTCAATTCTTTTCTTGTTTTTTTTTATTTTTTATGTTTCTCTCTTCTACAGTAGAAAGTGAACAACAATAAAAAACAAGGAAGAAATCTAATTGATTGAAGAGGCGGTAGACACTATTTAGAACCCAAACAACACCAATACTAATAATAGCAATAACGGAAATAGGCTCTCATGTCTGAAGGCATTCCGCTGAATATTCACTGCGTGGAGGAGGTCTCGTCCACGATGGATGTGGCCCGCGAGATGGTGGCGGCCTCCACACGTGTGCCGTTCGCACTTCTCGCGGGGTCGCAGGCGAAGGGGCGGGGCACCGGCGGCCGCGCGTGGGCATCGCCGCGGGGGAACATGTACTGCACCATCTGCGTCCCGGAGGCGATGGTCCCGGCGGAGGTGATGCCGGTGCTGCCGCTCGTGGCCGGTCTTGTCTGCCGCGCGGCGATCATGGAACTCATCCCCGGCGCGGACGTGCATCTCAAGTGGCCAAACGACATCATCCACAACGGCATGAAGATCGGCGGCACACTCGTCGAGAACGACGGCACACATTTGTTTATTGGCATTGGCATGAATGTCGCCGTTGCGCCGCCCGTCACGGACGCCGGCCGGCCCGCCACAACAATTCACAACATCGCCGAGGCCGCCGGTGTGAAGAGCGAGACGGTTAATCCTCGCCAACTGGCAGCCCTCGTCTGGCGTCATTTATTCACAACAGTAAATGACAACACCATCACACGCGCGGAACTCGTCCGCCGCTTTGATGCCGCGATGGATAAGAGTCTCACCCTCCACCGCCGCAATGGGGCAGAGCGCGGGGAGGAAACTCTCACCGCCGTGCGCCTGAACGAGTGGGGTCATCTCACCGTGCGGAAACCAGACGGCTCGGAGGAGACACTAATGGCAGATTATCTCTTTTAGGGGGAAAAACTGCATAGTCATGAATGGGGTGGCGAATCTGTGAGTGTGTGGGGATATGATGATATGAGTTAAACCATACAATCATAATAATGATAAGAAAGAGACCGCATTGGCAGCGGGAGTGTAGGGTGTTGGGGATTGGGATGTGGATGGGAGGGGATGAAATGAAAACAAACGAAAACAAAAAAAACAAAAACATGAATATCAAATATCTGTTGCTCCATATTGGTGTTATTGATGATTTGTGTCATTTGGGAAATTTGTGGGGTTGGGGCCACACAAGTTATATAAAGTTTTTTTTTTTGTTTGGTTGTATTATTTCCTTTTGAAAACATTTTCTTTTTTTTTCCGAGGGAGTAAATACTTAACTTTTTTTTTCTTTTTTTTTGTTTTGTTTTTTTTCCTCTTTGGGATAGGGCTGATAAAGGGGAAGTACAAAAGAAAAGAAAAAAAAAGACATAATTTCGTTTTTTTTTTTTCTTTTTCGTTTCTCGTGAAGTGGTGTTGGTATTTAACTATCACTATTATTTTGTAGCTCACCGTAGTCACGTGGATTCTCACGCCCACATCTTGAAAAAAAAAAAAAAAAACAAAAAACAAAATTCTTTCCATTTATTTCCATAAATGGCTACCACTAACCGAAAGACGGCAGAGAAGATTTATCACTGGATCAACTATATTGACTGTGCTCTTTCCCATCCGAAACCATTACCGACGGGAAAACATGTTTTTCGTAGTGATCTTAAAGCCGATCCAGAATTACGTGAAATCTATGAATGTTTGTTCAGACTATACACAGAGGAGAAGGCGTCTACAGAATTTAGGGAACCAGTGAACGCACTTCAGCATGGTCTCTTTAATTATTATACCGTCATAACGGAACCAATGTCGTTACGCACAGTTTTAGATCGCATCGCTGAAGGTAATCACTATTCAGATGCATCAGAGGTGATGAGTGATGTAGAGAAGATATGGAGCAACTGTGAAAAGTTTAATGGTGCCGATTCTGCCATTACTGCTGAAGCGAGAAAATGTCAGTTGGCGTTAACATTGCTGATAAAGAGTGTAGCGGATGAGCAGTTGGCTCCTCCATCTGAGGTGGATGAGGTGATTGCTCAGTTGAATAATATGGATGTTTCCGTGTTAGCAGAAGTTGAAGAGTACTTCAGAAAATCAGATCCTACTCTCATAGGTGAGAACTCTGATGTGGATGTGCCAAATTTAAAAGTTAAACATCTAAAGGAAATGAGAAAGATAATTGAACGCGCTGAAAGGGCCGGTTCTTGATGATATATATATATATATATTCGTTTCTTTTATGGTTAACGCAGTTTTCACATTCTCTACGTTTCTCTCTCTTTTATTGTTATTGTTGTTGTTGGTTTTCCTTTGGCATCTGGGTACTTCTAGAATGCGGAAATAGACACCAATTAGACCCTTCCAAAGTGAGGGCTGCTGGAAAGCCAAGAAATCCATTGCAGCAGCACTAGACATTCAGAAGGGTGTGTTTGGATCTCTTCTTCCTTTTCTTTTTTTTTTTCTTCTTTTGGGTTTATTTTGCTCCCTTCCGTTTCCCTGTCATCTCTTCTATTTTCTTACGAGAAGAAAAAGGAAAAAAAGAACAACAGTCTTTTTCGTGAAGAGGATGCAAGAGGGAAAATAAGCAAAACGGTGACGAAAAAGAAAAAAAAAAGTGAGGTTCAATGGGAAGTACCCCTCTGCAAAAGGGGTGAAAGAGGGAAAAAAAAAGAAATAAAGAATCTGAAATAAAAAGAGAGATTCAAAAAAGAAAAGCAGAAACTAAAATAAAAAAAAGAGTGAGAGGTTTGGGGTCTACCTTATTTTATTTTTCACTTGGTCAGCACGAACCTCTCTTCTTCTTTCCTTCTTATTTCTCATTTTTTTTTTGTTTCTTTTTACCAGCGGTACCAAAAAAGACACAGAAACCAGTACACACACACCAAAGAGAAAAAAAAATAAGCTAACAAGCAGGAAAAGAAGCGAAGGGAGAAGCAAACAAACAAACAAAAGGAGGACTCTTTCAGGTATACACCAACCCCTTCTTTTTTTTTTTTGTTCTCTCCCTTTTTTTTCCTTCTTTCTTTCTTTCGTTTCCCTCTCTCTCTATTCCTCTCTCTTTATCTCTTTGTTACTGTCCATGGGTGATTCTGCTGGGCCCGGCGGCTCCCCTCCACGCACGTCTGCCGTCGCCACCGCAGCGGCGGGGTTGGCGCGGATTGAGGCGGGACTCGCGCGCGACGTGGAGGCGGACCGGCAGCGGCGGGAGTTCACGTACGCCAGCGTGGCGCCGCTGCGGGACTTTATGTACGCCGGCGAGGAGGTGCGGCTGCCGCGCCGAATAGTGGAGCTGCGGGCAAGAAGGGCCAAGGTCGCAAATACCACTATGCCAATCACAGAGAATGAGTCTCCATGATCATATTTTTATATACTTAGATAAATAAATATATAAGTGTTTTGTAAACTATAAAAAGTGGGGTAGAGTCGAGATGAGAGTAAAGTGAGAGATTTATGAAGTAGAAGTGAGAGAGAGAGAGAGAAGGGAAGAAGAAGAAACAAACAATGACAACGACATTGTTGGTAACACGACAAATCAAGAGCAAAAAAAAAAAAAATGAGTATCGGTTAATTATTCTTTTAAGTTATTTGATGGCATTGACCCTCTTTTTTTTTCTCTCTTTGTGAAAATAGTTTGCTTTGTTAGTGTTTTCTGTGCTCTCTCTGTCATCTTTTACTCGTTCTTTCTTTCCCTTTTTTTATTACCACATGAGGCTGCTGTTGTTGTTGTTGTGTGAAATAGAAGAAAGAGGGAAAGAATACTGACGGCAGCTCCGTGGAGGGAAACAAACAAGAAAGGGTTACCAAAAGAGTACTTTTTTCACCTCATCTCCACCTCTAAAGAAAAAAAAAAACAAAGTAAAAAGAAAGGAAAAAACAAAAAAACAAACAAACAAACAACTCCTCAAAAAACACTCTCTACACATACCGTGTTTCATGCTCAATCTCTGCAGAGTGTTATTGAAGGTGCAGTCGCACCAGAAGGTCAAATCACAACACCCAAACGCCGGTACCCGCTTTGGTCGAGTGTATAATCGTGGTTTCATTCGCTACGGATTTGGTGGATTTGGAATGAGTGTGTATACACCAAAGAAGGACCGAAGATTTCGAGTCTTGACTCCACCCCCACCGAAGGGAGATCTCTTTGCCGATAATGAATCTCTGGTGCCCACCACTCGCACACTTTCACCAAACTTCCGCGCCTTTGCATTGGAGGATGGTGGGGTACTTTTCACACATCCAACACATGAACAGATCATGCGATGGGGACAGGGTGTTTTAACGGAAGAAGGAAAAGCCACGGGAATGACTTCCATGGATAATTACGTGAACTCACGCATTCAATCTATTATAGCAGAAAATACAGTTGAGAATGTCGCAATTAGTCACTGGCGCCGGCGGCACATGTGGAATCTCATCAAAGCACATGGAAAGCTGCAGCGACGGTGGGGTGTATCCGATACTCTGAAGGGAGCACGTTCAAACATTTACGGACGCTCTTGAGTGAAAAGGGTACACACATACATACATGGATTGTTTTTGCAGTTTTATTTTCCTCTGTTGTTATTGTTGTTGTTGTTGTTTGCGTATTTTCTCTCTGTGTTTTTTTTTATTTTTATTTTGACTACGACAAGAAAAGAAAAAAAAAAATAGAATTAAAACATGGAGGTCACCAGTGGCAAATATACATTTTATTATTATTTCTGTTTTTTTCTTCTTGGGTTAACGTAAGGTTGACAAGAAGAAGAAAAACAAAAAAAATAATCGCTGGTGTTTTTGAGAGGCTGTGGTGCCAGCGTTTGCGTTTGTCGAGTTTGCAGGCACAGAAGTGGCGTTTTTTCTTTTCTAAATTTGAATTTTTTTTTTTTTTTTAATTAATGAATGATGTAGTTATTTCATCATAGCTTTATTATTATTATTATTTTTTTTTACTGCTTTTGTGTAAATTTTTATTTGTATTTTTTTTTTTTTGTTTTTCTTCCTTCTTCTCCTTTTAACTAATTTTTTTTTTTTTTCTGGACCAAACTTTAGAGTTTTAAGTACAGTATTAGAGAACCTTTGGAGTGTTATTTTTTTTTTTTTTTTTTTTTTTTTTTTTCAGATAGTGTTTGTGTGGGTTCATTTATTGAAATGATTCACCCATTTGCTCTTGGGCTGAGCGGATTGCTGACTTCCGCTGCGGTGTTGGGTGGTCNATTTTTATTTGTATTTTTTTTTTTTTGTTTTTCTTCCTTCTTCTCCTTTTAACTAATTTTTTTTTTTTTTCTGGACCAAACTTTAGAGTTTTAATTGGGGGAAAAAAAAACAGTAATCATGTTTTTTTTTTTTTTTTTTTTTTTTTCAGATAGTGTTTGTGTGGGTTCATTTATTGAAATGATTCACCCATTTGCTCTTGGGCTGAGCGGATTGCTGACTTCCGCTGCGGTGTTGGGTGGTCACTTGCCTGCGGCTTTATTTTTAGTGTACATGGCACTATTGCGAGGACCACGCGGGTCAACCTCACGTGTTGTTCTCTCTTTCATTGCCCTGTTTGCCTCTCTGCAGCTTGCGGCGACACTGTTGGTGAATGTCGTCGTCGCCGCCTCTGATGTCTCGCGGGAGGCGATATTTAAAAAACACCGTATCTTAATAGAGTCTCTTGGGATTTATGAAGTAGGGGCTGGTGCGAATGGCTGGATAGTTGCAGGGGCCACGATCCCATCTGGATTACTGTTGATTTACGTTTTTATGTTTTGGACTAAATTAACGCATCGTGTTCGTATAAATCATATACGACCAGTTTTGACAACAATTTCTTGGGCTTTTGTGAGTGTTACAGCAGCGTTAATAGCTCCAACTGTATTGAGTGGAATATTACTTTTAGTTGGAATGATTGCCTTTGTGTGTATTGCCTTGGGAGCAGAAAGAATATTATTTGGAACATCCGATTGTCGTCTTTCTCTCTTTATTCTCTATATAAGCTCTCTTTTTGGAATATTGGCCAGTTGTTTAATTTTGGTGATAACATGTGTTTCTCAAAATGCCAGCATCGCTTACTTTTTGCGTCATGTGAATGCCATGTATGGTATTTCTAAACTATACAATTTACCTTTAGATATTGCCATTCGTCGTTTTATACAAGTTTGTTTAATGATGACATCTCTCTTTCTTGCACAGATTGCTCTGGAGTGTCAAGGAGAGTTTGTGCAGCGGGAACGGGCAGATGTGCCTTTCTTGCATGAGAGAAGAAGAAATCATCATTTACCCCGTATTGGTCAACGAATATCTGTTCATGTTAATATAGGAGCTATCACTACTACTAATACTAATACTAATACTAATACTATTAGTAGTGGACGTCCATCTAGACATCTCCGAACAACACAAAGTTCATTAAGTAGTAGTCATAATGGAGTTGTTATGATAATGGAGCGTATTAGTATGGCGTTTGAAAGTGTTGGTATTTGGATTATACGAACACTTCTCGCCAGTTCACGTTTACTACCTTTAGCCCTCATGGCCGCTAATATGATTGCCTTTCCGACGATAGTTTCACTAAGTATGCTTCCCACTATGATGGCTGGTCAATTGATGCGACGACAATCTTTTGCCATTCTTCTTCGCCCAACACTTGTTCTTTCTTTTCTTCTTGTGTTATTACAGTTTATTGTGTTGGCTACAAGGGAGGTACAGCCAATTCTCATGCAACATCTTTTATTAAGTGATGAAAATAGATGGGCATCTTTGGTTCAGGTGATTTGTAATGAAATTATATTTCTCTCTATCGTTACAGCGGATGTGGTGATTAGACATCAGTCACGTTTTAAGATTTCAGAAGAGAATCATGATGATGATAATGATAACGATAATACTACTAATGATAATGATAATGATAATAATAATGAGGATGATGATATCGTTTCATCCTCAGAATTACCATTACCACTAAGTGAGGAAGGAGAAAAAGAAGCCGTAGCAACAGCAGAAGAAGAGGCACCATTACCATGGACTGTACGGGAGAGAGTTGAAAATAATTTATTTAAAGGAGAAAATGAAGAAAACATTTACAGCAATCATAATAGTAACAGAAATAGCAGTCGTTACAGCCACAAGATTAATAATAATAATAATAATAATAATAATAATAATAATAATAATAATAATAATAATAATAATAATGAGTTATTGGAATATGTTGCTGGTAATGGTATTCAGAGATCGGCCACACATGTACTTGGTGAACAGCGTGTGGGAGAACTACTTTCATATATATCACAAGGTCATTTTCAAACGCAGGAGAAATTTGAGGATTTATTTTTTCGTCTTGTCGGCCGCTATCCTCTTGCTGAAGAAGAACGTTTACTTTGCAAGGATAGAATTGGTGATGCTATTTTAAAAGAAAAATTACAAGAATCCAGACAGTCTCTTTTAACACATTATATGCATTGGATAGGAGTATTATTTATGAACCATGCGGTTGTTATTGCATTACTAATGCTGTATATAGTGGGTTCATTTACTTATCATATGGATATTTTTCATGCCGTTGTACTTCTACTTTTTATTCTTTACTTTTTCTTACCAGATGTAATCGATACAAAGTGGGTACCTGTGGTAATATATTTAATGTTATTAGCCTCTTTTGAACTTGTATTTACCTTTGTGAGTCAATTCTTTACTTTACCTATATATGTAATGGGTAGTCCAATCAGCTATGCAACGATTGGGTTTGTACCTCTACGATCTCGCTATGAAGGAATTCCTTATTTGGTAGCGGTATTCATGATGTCTTTTTTATTTATGCGAGTACGTGTTTGTCGTTCATGGGGAGTGGTGATATCATTATATGAATGGAATCAATTTTGTCAATGCACAGCAGCGAAGGAATGGTCTATGCGCATTACAGCCACCGTCACAACCGCCGTCTTTGTGGCTCTTGGTGTATTTCTACCGCGATCTATTATTGTTGAGGGATTTCTTGCCCTTGTGCTTCTTCTAGTAACGACAGTTGCCTTTTTTGGTTTATCTAGTAAATTACTACATGCACTTTGGCTTTTAGCTTCTGTATATAGTTTTATGGTTGTATGCACCACCTCCTTATGTCAATTTACACAATTATCATCTTTACTACAAATATATATATTTGATCGGCTTTGTGGGAGTTCCAATCACTGTGAAGAAGAGATTGGATTATATCCGGCAGATGGAGAATTGCTGCTGGTATTTTTTCTCGCTCCTTGGTTTTTGGCCTTTGCAACGACAGTACCGCACCTCACCGCAAAAGATCCCATTCATAATGAACATCAATATATAGAAAATGATGAAACGGAGAGGAATATCACAGAGAATCGCTATCTACAAAGAGAAGAGGAAAGAGAAGAAGAAGAGAGAGAAGAAGAAGAAGAAAGAGCATATAAAGAGCATATAGATACATATATGATAGTAAGACGTTTATCCTCCCTACCATTTGGAACAGATGATCAACGTTTTCTACGACATTTTGGACAGTTTCTGGCAGCAATGAATACATTAGGTTCATGGATTACTACATTTGGGGCAGATTACGGTAAAATATTAGTTTGGATAGCACTATTTATTGCCGCCTCACGTCGTCTCACTGCTATGAGTGCTGTTTATATGATTTTCTTTATTCTAAACTTTACACATATCTCTGTATTAATTTATTGTATTCTACATATAGTGACTCTCTACACATATAAATTTTCGTTTGTACCAGAGATCACATATGAGTTTCATGGTATACGATTAGCGGAATTAATTGGACTCAATAAAGGTGGTGATGCCTCTCCTTTTACACAAGTTGTTGGACCTGTACTTGTTTTCTTTGCTGTATTATTTTATATTAATACTCGAGGTGCGAATAAAAATATTAGACGATTGCAACGTACAGAAGGACCAGAGAGTTCTAGTTGGAAAACTGTTCTCTGTACACAGTTATTTTTCTACGCCGGTTATGAAGGTTTTGTCTTGACCTTACTTATTCTTCTTGCTCTCTCTGGGGATTCATGTACAGGAGTTTTAATAGCTTTTGCGCTATTGATTGTATTAACATCTGGAAGGGAAAGATTTCATTTCCGAAGTCTTTCCTTTTTATTTTTGTTAATATTATCACTTACACTTCTTTGGCAATATGCACTGGAACTGAATGCGGCGAGAAATTTATTTCCTACTGTAAATGAGGCAAGAAATAATAAAATAGAAAAAGATGTTTGGAGTCGTTGGGCATTTACTTCTCATAAAAGTATATTAATCGGTAATTTCATAGCAGTTATGTTACTACACATAAATCGTGAACAATCTGGTGATATGCATGTATACTTTTCACTTATTCGTTCTCAATTTAATGGATATAGTACACTTATTCAATATATTCAAAGTGCATCGGTAAAATCTTTACAACGATTACCGCAAGAAACGTTTGATCGTGTGGTTCCAAACTTTATGGAATCTTCTCCACCGAGTCTTCTTGGTAGTATCACCACAGTTGTTATTTTTGCATTTTCTTATTTATATCCAGTTGCCATCTTTTCCTTTGCGGCGGGTGTGGCCTCTGAACCATCTCTCATCAATCTCACACTCTTATTAGGTGGTTTACTGCAGGTCTCCCGATTTGAATTACTCCATTGGAAATTCTTTCGCCTCTGGCCTCCCATCTCAACAGCGTATACTTTACTTATTTATCTCCCGCCTCTTTGCAATGCCCCTTATATTCGACAATTCCTACAAGATGCACAACAACGAAATCTCATGGAGGTGATTGGTCTTATTGATCACAATGCCGTTCTTTTTCACTTTACACCTCTGCACATTTTACTGCTTCTCTGCGTTACTCTGCAAACACGTGTGTATAGTGACTTCCGCTACAGTAAAGTCCTGCGGCGACTCTATCGACATACGTACATGCGGCAGGAACGGCATGAACGGCTCTGGCGCTGGCTGGCGGAAAAGTACGCGGGCGAACAAAAACAAGTGGACGAGCGGCGGCGGGAATTACAAATGAAACTGCAGGAAGTGCGGCGAACACTACAAACAGCGGATGGGGCTTGGCGACCAGAGAATATTCCACGCGAACGAACACTCGCAGAGGCCTCTCAGGGAAGTCGTAGAGGTCTGCGAAGACGGTATATACATAAGGAAGATGAAGAGGAGAAAAAGAAGAAGAATGATGAGAAGACGAATAATAATAAGAATAATAAGAATAATAAGAATAATAAGAACAGTGCTAGTGCTTATGAGGAGGAGGAGGAGGGAGAGGCCTCTCAAAAGAGGCAATTGCAGGAACAACAAGAGGATGAAAAAGAAAAGGCATTATCTAATATTAGCTTTAAAAGTTCATTTACATTAACAGATAAACGTACAAAACGTGGAGAAGATTTTAAAGCCTCTATGAACTCTATGATTCATTCATGGGTAATAACATTTACAGATTGGTTAGCTCTTCACACGTATGAACCACATAAATACACGGCTGCACATTATAAAGGTTTGTATAGACGTCTCTTTTATGTAACTATTAGAGCTATGGAAAGACACACCGCCATGGTGACGCTTGTAGTAACGATGATTAACTTTATGCTTACACATTGTTTATGGGAACTCGTGCCGTTTTGTATTATTCTTGTGATTGCAAATACATACAACCCATTTCCCCCAAAGTTTCTCTTTACATTTCTTTCTTTCTATGTGGCATTTGGAATTCTTATAAAAGCACTTGTGGGTATGACTATATCACGACTTCCCTATTCCCCAGAGTTACTTAAATTCTTATCATGTACTATTCTTCACATCTCTGAAGGGAAATATTGGGAAGAACAAATTGGATATTCATATGTGATGATGGACTTTATTGTGTATGCTGTATTGTTAATGCATCAGGATATTTGCTTATCTAATGGTGTTTATTGTAGAAAAGATATTCTTGCAAGTCGGGGAGACGTGGAGACGGTTTTACCGAATACACTCGAGCAGGACACCATAACGAATAATATCTCTACAAATAAGGAAATAGAAGAAGAAGAAGAAGAAGAAGAAGGAACAAAGATAACTCAAGCTGTTTCTTCTTTATCTACTCTTCCTCCTTCTCCTTTCTTTGCTGCTCCGGTTGAGGAGAGAGTATCTAGAGAAAGAGAAAGAGAAGAGAATGCCTTAGCTTCCACCGATTCCCGTATGCATATTGTTGGACAACATGTTATCACAATGAATTTAAAACTTCGATCAGTTGTTTGTGATTTTGTGCAAAACGCCATTACAACTCCCGGTACTGGACGTGATTGGTATGTTCTTTCTTTTCTCGTGGAGATAATTGCATTGATAACGTTTATCTTTGGATATAATAAAATGACTGATGGAGCTGATGGTTCTATTCAGGAAAGTGTTAAACGAAATCTTCTTCCTGGACCTCTTGTTATTATTGTTTTGGTTTCCATTCTTTTTCTCATTGCCGATCGTATGTTGTATGTAATGCGAAGTGCAACTTGGAAACTCTTGTTAAATACAGTTTGTGGAATTACATATTGTGTTTGTTATTTATTATGGGGAAATCTTGTAGATGTTCAATCTCGTGTGGTGGGAAATGTATTCTTTGTATTAAAAATATTGGCTCTCACTATTTCCGTTCTTCAAGTACGTATTGGATATCCCATTCATCGTCGACATGATCCCTTTACCTGTACAAAGGGAAACTCTCAAATTGTATCTATTTTTTATAGTATTTATCGTATTATACCGTTTCTCTGGGATTTACGGGTATTAACAGACTGGACAGTCGAGCGTACAGCACTTCGGCTTGGGAATTATTTAAAGATTGAAGATCTGCATGATATTGTTTATAATCGATGGGTTGAAATTTACATGGCACGCGAACAACAACCCGTTCTTGGGACGAGAGTACTCCGTTCCGCAAAACTCATAGATGGTGTCTTATCACTGGCTATTATTGTGGTGGCTCTCATGGCCCCATTGGTATATTACTCCACCTTTAATCCTTCTATTCAATCTAATGGGATTACACAAATGCGTGTGAGTCTTTCACTTATGTCTTCTCAACATTTTTATGCCTCTACAGTTTTCACTGCAACTCCATATCCAGATGAATGGAGATTATGGTTAGCTCGAACACGTCCATCCCTTGCTCAAGAAGGAATGATAGATGATAAAAGGACCTTGCAATTGATTGATACGAGTTCATGTAGTAGTGAATTATGGCCAATAAGTCCACAGGCGTTTAGACAACTACAATCACAACTAACGGAAGTAATGGAAAATAAAACCATTATGTATATGTTTCAATCTTTTGAACTCTCACGTATGCATTCTTCAAGTACTTTAACCTATACAAATCGATGGAAAATTCCATGGAATACGGCTCGTGATATTCAAGAGATGTTAAATAATGTCTCTACTAATGAAACCAATTATGTTGAATTGAAGAATTTCTACTCACCTTTTATTTTTAATCGACCAGATGGTGTTAAAATGTATGATTTTGCAAATGGTAAAAATGCCATGGATTGTACGATTCTACTTCGTCGTGAAGTGGATCCATTAATAAACGATACCGTACGATATTGGTGTTTGAAGTGTCAATCACTCTTTACCAGTGGGAATATCCCATACGATAACACCACCCTCTTCCCAGAGTGGAATTGTCTCACCACCGGTGAGGATTGTGAGGAGTACAATTATGAGAAACCAAATAGAGATGAGGCATACAATCCTGTTCCAATGTATTACGTGATATTATCAGATCCAACTGCGGGTGGAGTGCCATTCCTGGAAGGTATAGGAATAATTGCACTCTACACAACTTTTGTGCTGGCGCTTGGTAGAATGTTTAGAGGAATGTATGCAAATAAGGCAAAGAATGTCATTCTAACGGATATGGCAGATCCCACACCAGTAGCACAGTTAATAGATTACATCTCTATTGCAAGAGAATGTGGAGATATGCGGCTTGAGCAATCTGTGTACTTTGAACTCATTGATCTCTTGCGATCACCTGAACGATTACTGCGGCTTACGGGGTTTAACAGGCGTATGTATGATGCCGATACGGATATGATCTTATCGCCATCACCTGCAGCCGCACTGCAGTACAGTAGTGCTGGTGCTGGTGGTGTTGAGTCGGATGGAAATGGCAATCCAAATAATATGAACAGTAGTCCTGATAGCAACAATCATAATAATAATAATAATAATAATAATAATAATAATAATAATCAACAAGAACAAGAAGAGGTGCAACAGGGTCAGTTTTCTAATGATAATCATAATAATCATAATAATGTGCCCATCGCTAGTAATGCTAATGCTGATAACAATAATAATAATTATTATTTATCAGAGCGTGGTGATGATAGTGCACAGGAACCGGAGACTAGAAGGTCGGATAATCATCGGAAGGACGATTAAGCGAATGAAATGCTTGTGTGGTTCTTTTTTTTTTCTTTTTTTTGCTTCTGCTTTATTTCTCTCTGTATTTATATGTTCTTCCCTTATTTCTTTTTTTTTTTTCTGGCCTTTTTGGCTTCTTGCGTGTGTAATGCTTTGGTTTTATTTCTTCAATAAAAAGGAAGAAAGCAAACGTATACAAACACTTTCTTTTCCTTTTTATTTTCAACTCAGTGACTCTTTTTTTTTTATTTATTTATTTACTTTTCTTCCTCTTGAATATATTTGAGGTTTTTTTCTTTTTTTTTTGGCGAACGTAGGTGTACATCTTTATAACAGTAGGATGTGTGTCTGTGCCTCCCTACTAATGTGCAGAGTAATGTTTTTTTTTTCTTTTCTTAATTATTTTCTTTGATTCTATCTAATGATTCTTCTTCAAATTTAATTTTTTTTTTTTTTGCTTTTTTTTTTTTTTACACTTCTACTCATTCTTTTCTTTCCCCTATTCTCTTTCTTCTTTATTTTTCATTCCAAACATACACTTTCACACACATTTCAACTCCTTCCCTAAAAAGAAAAAAGAAAAAAATAACAACTGTTTAGAGAACCCGCAAGGTCAACAAAAACAAGAAAAGAAGAAGAACAACAACAGTAGTGTAGTAGCCATACAAATAACTATCTTGCAAGAAGGACCAAAAGAAAAAAGAAAAAGAAAAGAAATAGAAGAAGAAGAAGAAACATTTGATTTCTCTCTTTTCCCTTCTTCTTCTTCTTCATCTTTTCCTTATATATTTCTCTGTATTCTATTCTCTCTCTATCTAAATGACATCCCCCTCGTGCACGGTGTATGAGAATGTGTTGGGCGGCACTCGGCCCCGGCGGCACATCGCCCCGCAGATCCGCCCGGCCGGTCTCGTCGTTGGCCGCGACTGCGGAACGGTGGCGGAGTTGACCTCCAATTACTACAAGGCGAGAAGAGAAACTCCGGATCTCATCAAGAGCTACAGACGCGGCGGGGAGGTTGGACGGACATGGCGACACTACGGCATTGCAAGAGATCCACCAGTGGATGAAAATATACGGCATGGTATTAAAGGCGTCGTTGGCGAGGGAGCACGGGGTTGTTTACAACCCCCACATGATCGAATGACGGCATTAATGGAGGAACAACTTGAGTGTATGTATTTATCCAATATACGAAAACCACTTGGACACGCTCCAGCCCCAACGTATGAAATAACGGTTCCACGAGATGGATTTGGGGTTCATTCCGATCACAGTGAGAGTGTTAAACGAGTGGTGTATGGTGGTAAGGATGTGGATGTACTTCACCCCGTGGGAGAACGTAAAGATCGCGGTTACGATTGGGAAAAGACTGGTATTGATCCCACACAGTTTTGTTTTGGGAAAACAGTTGGGGCATCGGCTATGAACACAACCGCCAACGTCACCGCCGCAGATGTGATGCGGGAGAGTCAACCAGTATCCACTGTACTTCCTAAACTCGTGAAGGATTATCAATCAACTTCAAAATCAGAAATTGGAAAGCCCCGCAGGTATGGATTTCACAATGCACAGTTTGAAGAAACAGCAGAACAGCGGGCTGTGCAACGATCACGACTTGGTGATGGGGATGCCGCACGTGAAGTACTTAGTTCATGGGCCATACATCCAGCCACTCTAAAGGCATATGAAGAACGTATTGCCAGAGAAACCGCAGATGCATTGGAAACGATGAAAGAACTCACCGCTACTACAGTGGATGATGACAGCAATAAGACTCGTTCACGATATGAATGTTCATTTGATGGCAAACGAAGAGGTAAAGCAGTAGCACTAACAGAACTGGATGATGATGTGCGTGCCCCACATCTCTTATATCCATGTCACTATGTTCAGTTGGGTGTGAAGTCCAAGTACTTCGCCGGTGGCCGAACATTAGAAGATATTCGTAGTTTATGTAAAAAGATAGATTTTCACATTTCCGATGAACAAATCGAAGAGGTGTTCAGAAGCATCGCTTTAGATGATCGATGCGGTATTGAACAGTTTAAGAACAAGGCCATTGATATGGGATATCTGGTGTAATTATGAATATGTTATATCGATCCCTTACCTACTTATCTACATATCACCAGCAAGAAAAGAAAAAAAAAAAAGAAAAGAATAGAGAAAAGCCAATAAAAGTGTTTTTCTTGTTCTTTTTTTTTCTTTGTTTTTGTGTTTTTTTTTTAATTTGATATATTCTTGCACTCGCCACCACCATCATCATCTCTCAGTTTTCTATTATATTGCTATATTCTCTGTGATGGCAGGCAAATGTATAGAAGGAAGAAAAAAAAAAAAAAGAAAAAAGAGAGAATGGAAATATAGTGGAGTAGATATTCTCAGCAAAACAAAAAAAAAAAAATAACAAAAACAAGAAGAAGATTAGAGTATGGAATGAATGGATGAAATAAAGAAATGGAAATGTGACATTATGTACTTAGTTTTTTTTCCCCCCTTCTTTTTCTTTTTCTTGTAAACTCTGGATATTAAACCTGAGTTGATTTTTTTTTTTTTTTGTTCTTCCCATGTTTCTTATTATTTGAACTTTTTTTGTTTTGTTTCTTTTCTTTTGTATTTCTGTATTGTCTTTACTTCTTGGCCAGCGCCTTCCTGTGTTTTTATTGCCAACTATAATTATTTATCAAATATCTCTTTTTTTCTTTTTTTTTTTCTGTATTTTGTAATCTTCACTTATTCCCGTCCCAAGGGCTCAGAACAACTGAAGAGAGAATCCCACACATACACATACACACCAAAAAAAAGGAAAAAGAAGAAACTATACCTAAAGGAGGAGCAAAAAAAAAAAAAAAGGGAATAAGTTTCGAGGTGTTCTGCTTGTGTGTATACAAGAGGTGGGTATTATTATTAGGTTAGTAGTTACACGTACTTTATTTGTATTTGTAGTTTTTTTTTTTGTTAGTTTGTTTGTGTAGATTTGTATCGTTCAGCAGATCAAAAGGAGGTGTGGTATTGATAAGAAGAAGAGAAAGGTGAAGACGGTAGAGAAAGGAAGTAAGAAGGAAAGGAAATAAATACTCAGGAATAGTGTTGTTAAATAGCAGTAGCAAATTCACACAGCGAAAGAGTAAAAGTAAAAGTAAAGCATCCCTTCCCTCTTTTTAGATAAATAATGTTTCGCCAAACGTTAAAGAGAGGGATAAAACCATATCTCCATGCTTTTTCTCCTGGAGCACGTCCTTCTGAAAAAGGTATGTTATACCGAAATAATAATATGAACGCACATGCGCGTGTGGCATCTATTCAGCAAGCACAACGTACACATCGCGAGGGAAAAATATTTCTTATGCTGTTAGTACCGGATCAAATTTTCCTCTCTGTCTTTGTTGTTTGTACTTCCATTGTTGTCATTTTCATGTACTTTCGTCAGCAACCCTTTAGTTTTAATACAAATAAACAACGTTGGATTTTAGGTGCATTAAATGAGCATGAGTTCTACCAACGTAATAGAGAGATGAGTTTGGTGTTTGAGGCTCATAAGAATGCTATTGAGGGAACAAGAGAAGCTGTTGGTGATCGACCAGAGGTGTTTGATCCTCCGGTGGGAACACTCTACCAAAGCCGCTCTGGTGAATTTGCTGTAGAGAAGTGAGTACGAAATTTGTTGACCAAATATATCTAGTGTTTATTTTTTCTTCTCGTTGTTGTTGTTGTTTTCCTCCTCAATTCTGTATTTTTATTTGTTTTATTTTTGTTTGCAGTCCCATTTTTAAATAATGGGGGATATGACACGGGATTTTCAATGGGAATTAGTAATTAAATTGAGTGAGCGATTGTCTGCTTTTGTCGCATATATATTATTATTTTTTTTTTTATATTTATAGTGTTTTTATGGGTGAGGTTTGGGGGATCTGGGGTGGTGACTGATGGGACTGGTTAGAAAAGAAAAAAAAGGGTGTATAGTAGAGGAGGATAGGAAATGAAAAGAAATAGGAAAGAGAGAGAGAGAGAGAGAGAAAGGTGAAAACTGGAACAATAAATATCTATATCTATAGAAAAGTAGTTTGTGTATGAGAGAGAACGAAAGAAAAAAAAACAAAGAGAGAGAGTGTGTAGAACAGTTATTATTTATTATGCGTCCATATCACTAAAAAAAATGTATTATCTCCATCTATACTATACATCTACTATACCATTGTTTTCTGGGTATAATTTCTCTTTTTCTTTCCTTCTTTCTTCTTTCCCTTTAGCATTACTTTATCCTTTCCCTCTTCCTTTTCCTCAAACTTATTATAGTCCCCTTTAATCCCTCTCTTTCTCTCTCTCTCATTCACTCTGTGCAATGTCGGGAGGGATTGCTGTTGTGGATGTCGGCTCCGGCCACACACGTGTGGGGCTCGCCGGCGAGGAGGCCCCGCGGGTTGTGGCCGCAACTCTCGTCGGCGCCGCCCGCCCCCGCGGGGTCCCCGGCAGTCTTCTCCAGCACCGCAGCGACGACTACGCCGGGGAGGCCGCCGAGAGGGCCGCCGGCCGCCTCCTCACGCGAAGACCCGTGCAGGGCCGCCGCGTTGCCAACTTTGACGATCTCGAGCATCTCCTCCACGACGCCCTCTACGCGTGGCTCCCACTCATCCCGAGTGAAACGCCGCTCTTGTGGGTGGAGCCGGCGGGAACCACACGTGCCGATCGCGAGCGAGTCTGCGCACTTCTCTTTGACGTCTTTGACATCCCACGACTCGCCATCACGAGTGCGGCGGCAACCACCATGTATGCGACAGGACGCACGACGGGAATCGCACTTGACAGCGGCGAGGACCGCACAACGATTAGTGCCGTGTGGGAGGGATATTCTCTGCAACACGCCGTGCATGTCTCCGCAGTGGCTGGACGTGCACTCACAGACAGACTCTTCACTTACCTGCGGGGGAAGGGGTATGCTTTCTCCACACCACAGGATCATCGTTTGGTGGATGATATTAAATGTAAAATGTGCTATGTTGCTGCAGATCTGGAACTAGAATTAGAACAGTTACGTAAAAAGACACATTTTGAGAGTTATCAGTTACCAGATGAACAGCATATCTACCTTCATGAAAGTCAGTTTACGATTCCAGAGATACTCTTTACGCCACCAATGGAGGAGAGTAGTGAAATTTTCACTGGTTTTGGTGAGAAGGATATGTATGATGTAACTCTCTGTAAGAAGGAAATTGGATGGGCAGAGGCGGTAAAAAAAGTAGTAGAAAGTTCACCTTTATATACTCAGTCTCATCTTTACGGTAATATCGTTCTGGGTGGAGGAAATACAATGTTCCCTGGTATTGAACAACGTCTGCAGCATGATGTTGTAGAACTAACCAAGGGTAACAATAATATCAATTTCAAGAGCAACATAAGTAATAGTCAAGATACGGTGAATTGTATTGCTTTTCCTGATCGTGATTTGGCTGCATGGATAGGAGGTTCAGTAGTGGCATCTATGCCAACATTCTTGCATACTTGTCTCTCACGCGGTGAATACCATGAAAATGGCGCAGGACTCATACACACAAGGGTGTCGTAAAGAATCTCTGAGAGAATACAGTAAAGAAGAAAAGGAATGACATTATGAGATTCTTGAGGGGAGGGAAGAAGGCAAAAAAAAAAAAAAAAATGGAGAGGCGTCATGTAGAGTAGAACAAAAAAAAAAAATGAAATCATACTGAATGGTGAAATCTAAGCATTAGTTCAATTTTTGATATATATTCTTCTGACAATTTAATTGTTGTGCATGAACATCAGTGTATATATATGTGTTTTTTTTTTTTTCTTTCTTTTCTCTCTTTTTTTTTTTAGTTCCCTTTTTCTTTTCAAAAGAGAGGGTGAGGGCGTCTTTTTTTCTTCTCGCTCCTTTTTTTTTCTCTCTTTCAGGGTTTGGAAGAGAAAAGTGGAAAAAAAAAGTCTCTCTCTTTGTGGGCTTCTCTTGCTGTTACTAGATATATAATATACTCAAAGAAGGGATACAAATAGAATCCACCTGAGGGGTAGGTACAGCTCTTATATCTAACCGAAGGAATACAAAAAAAGAAAAAAAAAAAAAGACAAACAAGGAAGCAAAGAAAATCAAAAAAAAAAAAAAAACTTACAGAATGTTGTCTGATAAGAGCGCCTCCTTTTACCGTAAGAACAGTCCTTCCAAGGATCGTGGCAGTGCTATTGTAATTCCCAATATTCCCAAGGTTACAGATGAACGGGCACGTATGAAATTACTATCTGATTATGATAGATACGAACAGGAACTCTTTAAACACCATATTGGAACACCAGATACCACATGTACAATAGGTCTTAAACTCGTTCCTTCCAATTTTGATAGACGCTTGCCATCACAGAATGACCCTACAAATGCAGAGACGGAGTTAGAAGCACGTAGACGACTCAAACGAATGGAGAAGAGAGCTTCTAGAGGTTCCTTCGCCGCACTATCATCATCCAGGACGGACGTTCCTGCCGCGAGACGTCCAGTCGCGGATGCCCAAATGTCAGTCTCCACCGCAACCGGAACAGGAATCACTAGTGCATCTCAAACGCCAAACCCGCGGGTATCAACACAACCAGCTGTAGGTGTTCCTATCCCAGAACACGTTCTTCCACCCACTTCTCGCTCAAATAAGTCTGCACGTGGAGGAGGAGAGGGAAGAGGCTCCGTGACGTTGTCTACAGCTCAACCCACACAAGGGGCAAGTCCAGCAGTGGAAGGAAAGGCACAGGATAGTCCACTCAGTTCAACGTTTCCTAAAGGAACTCCACAACGATCCAAGACACAGAGGTTAACGGCAACAGTAACACCACCAGAACCAGAACCACAACCACAACCACCACAGAAGCATCAGCAGAAACAACCGCAAAAACAACAACAACCGCAGAAACAACAACAACAACGTCAACAAAATAGAGTTGAGGAACATACTCCAGTAAAGAAGGAAACTAAGACGGTAGGAACTGTACCTCGACCTCCAGTACAGTTTCTTAAAAGGGATCTCTCATTAAAATCTCCAGATGCAATGTTTGCAGCAAAAAATGACTCTGCATTAACTGCAGAACGCTGTGGTGAATTACTCCGAGTTTTAATTAATACTCCACCTGAATTCTGTGAGTCCTTTCATCTTGATTTGCGCCATATTGATTTGGGGTGGATGCGAGGTTCACGTTACCCAAGTTCTCTTGTGACACTGCATACATGGCGTTCCAGTGCCGCTTCCGATGGAATTGGTCCTGGTTCTAGTAATAGTGGAGGTATACTACCTCTTAATTCCCCACGTTCTGTTCTTGTTCTCTTAGGTAATGGAGTTGTGATGAATGATTTAATTCCACAAGAAATCCATGATGATGATCCATTATTACCAAAAGACCCAGAAACACGTAATTATGTGAAACGAATGCGTTTGGAGTGTCATGCTCGTGCTCGAGAAAATTTACTTCAAAGTTTACGTAGTGATTACGCTGTACTTTGCCGTAGAGTTAATTTACCAGATATCTTGAAGGCTTACCAAGAAGACAAAAGGCGAGAAATCACGGTGGAACTTCCCTCAACTATTAAAGAAGGTCATGAAAGACGAAAACGCATCTTAGAAACTGAAAGGAAAAGGATGGAAAAACAATTAGCTTTTACAAAAGATGTTCATTATCGTCAACTAATAGCTGAACAGCGACAACGTCAGTTGGAAGAAGATGCAAAAGCAAGAATTGAGCAAAAAAGACAAGAAGAACAAATAGCACATCAACGGGCTGTAGAACGTCTCGCAGCACAGAAACAGAAGGCGGCAGAGGCAGAAGCACAATACCAAAGAGATTTACAAGAACGACTACAACGGGCTGAAGAAAAGAACGCCAGACGTATTGAAGCTCAACAACGATTATATGAACGCCGTCGTGAAGAACGACAGAAGTTAGCAGAAGAGCGTCAGTTACGGTTTGAGCGCCGAGTGGAGGTACAAGAGCAACAAAAACTACAAGCCCAACATAAACGTGAAGAAAAGGAAGAAAAGATAAGAGTCATGCGAGAGGAACAAGAGCGTAAACGACAGGAAATGCATGAAAAGTTGGTAGAAAAGGCCGCTAAATCAATGGAACTGCGGGAGTCGGTTCGTCAACGGGCAGCGATGCAGGAAGAACGGGTCCGGCAGGCGGCGATGGAGCAGCAACGCAAAGTGGAAGAACGACTGTTGCGATTCCAACAAAGCCACGAAGCGGCACGGGCCGAACGTCTTCGACAGGAAGAGGAAAAACGAGAACGTCTCAAGGAGGCTTATCAAGCGGCGGCGAATAAACTCGCGGCGGTGAGAGAGGAAATCCTTGAAAAGGACGCACAACATGAGAAGAACTTTAATGAACTACAACATCAGAGACAAGTGGAGTCTCTGACAAAGCGGGAACATGAACGGGAAGTGATGGAGGCAAAGGCTTTTGCAGTACTCCGTAGTAAACGGATGACGGAGTTTGAGAAACTTGAGACAGTATTACAACTTCTTAAAAAACGTGAAGTGGCAATGCATTTGGATAAACAACGTGAGTTGCTTTTAGAGGAAACACGCAAGAGTCATGCTACTTTACTCTCAGAAAGAAATGCCCTTAAGCAAGAGATAAAACGTCAGAAGGAACTCACAGGGTGATGAATAGAAGAAAAAGAAGAAGAATGATTAGTATATGCATATGTTGGTAATGAATATGTATTTGTATATTTTTGCATATGAAATGTATGCGTATAATGGTATATATGTATTATAGCCTGGTGAAGAGAGGACAAGGATGAAGGAAAGAAAGAAAGTAAAAAAAAAAAAAAAGAGTTTTCTCAGCTTTTAGAAATGAGCAGAAACACATATTCACAGTAAACGCAAAGAAGGATACACATATATAGCAAAAAAAAAAAGGAAACAATAGGGTCCCCAACATTTTCAGTCTCTACAAAAAGGGAAGAAGAAATAAGGAGGGATCAAAAAACAAAGTAAAAATAAAAAAAAAAGAGAAATGTTTAAGTGATATTCTGATTTATTACTTACAATCTCTTTTTATTTTTGTTTTTCTTGCATTGTTTTTTTCTTTTTCTTTTGATGTGTTGCAATTCTTGTTTGCGTTTTAACTCTCTTTGTTGTTCCTGTTCCTGTTGGTGTTTTTTTTTATTTATTTTAATCCTGGAAGTTTTTTTCTTCTTTTTTCTTATGTTTTCTTTGTGATACTGAAATCTTTAATATGATTTCTATATATATATATATATATATATATAGATCTTTCTTTCTCTGTCTGCTTGATTGCTTGTTTAATTCCATAAATTATTACAATTGTTGTTGTTTTACTCTGTTTTGATCACTATAGTGGAAGGAAAAAAAAAAAGAAAAAAAAAAAACACACAAAAAAGGCAAATACGTAAAATAAACAAACTGTGAGGACGTGAGAGAAAGTTATTATACATACATACGAGTATGGAACTAGTTGGTGCGGTAAAGGCCGCATCAACGCCGGTGGTGCGTGCTGTTCTTCTCATGATGGCTGCACTGCATGGTGGGCCTGAGAAATCAAAGAAGGAGACGTGGACGTGTTGCCGCAGCGATGGATCCCCCGCAGCGACATTCAGCGAAACGGAAGGATGGAAGACGTTGCGGGAATGTAAAGGTATACCTCCAACTGTGGAGATGCAGTTTCACGTGGATCACACAAATGACAATGCAGTGAAGTTTAAATGGGTCCCAATGGATGATTCGCATGTGGTCTTAATTGCCCAACGCACAGAGACTGGGGTATCAACGCAGCCTGTAAGTATTTCCCTTTCCACAGGGGAGGAGCCGCTTCTCTCTATTATGAAGAATGTGAGTGAGTGGACTACAGAAACTGCAGAGGATGCTGTTAAACGACTACGACTAGCACTCTTTAATCGTCTTTCTGCAGAATTCCCCAGTGAGGGGAATGGTAGTAGCAATACTACTAATAATAATACTAATACTGCACCACCACACAGAGAGTCTGAGAGAGAAGTACTTGAGGAGAGAGATGTAGTTCATCGTGAATCTAACATTGCGGCACCAGACCGTATTCCCGTTCCTGCCGGAGAATCCCTCTTTGCTGGTATTGTCCCGCGGCTTCCAGGATATCGCTACGGCGAGAGAGATTTATTACCAGGTGGAGGCATCACACCACCCGTCGGTAATAGTAATAGTGCTGGTGGAATGTTTCTGGGTCCTCAAGCCTTTAACAATGTGGATCTCCCACAGGCCCGATATAATCCAATGTTTCCTGGAGATACTGGCCCCTATCGTGGAGGACGTCCACAGCCCATGCGGACCTTTCCAGGTGAGCCCGATCCCGATCTTTTACTTCCACCGGGTGGACCGGCCTTTGGGGGATTGGGTTTTGGGCCAGGAAGGGGTGGACGTGGTCCTTCCTATTTCGGTTGATGTGTTTGTGAATAAACCGCTTTGTGTGTGTGTGTGTGTGTGTGGCTTGATGTTTGTATGCATAGCTGGATATAGCTGAATGAAAAAGATGGAATAGGTTGTATGATAGTATATGAGTGAGTGAGTGATTTTATTTTATTTGTTTTTTTTATTTTTTTTTTTTTTGCATTGATTTTTTTTTTTGCATTTTGTGTGCACATTTCTGCTGTTTTCATTTTTTTTTTGTTTTTTTTCCGTTTATGATATGATGCTTGTAGAGGTTAATACTGGGAGATTTTGTTCCTGCGTGCGGACAACAAGAAAAAAAAAAAAAAAAACGAACAAAACAAGTGTGCGAAAGTGGTTCACACACAAACAGAAATAAACAAACAAATACGTACATAATTGCTGATGCAGAACGATGTTATTTTATTTTCTCTTTTTTGTTTTCCTTTTCTTCTTTTCTTCTTTTCCCTCGTTTACACACACCTCCTTTATTTCCTTCTTTTCCCACACTTCTCTTTCCATTTATTTATTCATCCCTTCATTCCTTTTTTTTTCTTTCTCATCTATATCCTTCTTTTTCCTTACCCCCTTTTTTTTTCTTTCTTTCCTTCTTTCTTTATTATGATCGGTTCTTTCACTATATTCTTAGTGTGTAGTGATGGTGTCGTACAAAGAGACGGTGAGTCGCGATGGCCGCAAACGTGCACCGCGGCTGCTCTTTGGTGTGAATCTTATCAAGCCGTTCCCGTGGATTCGTGTGCTTGTTGGGATGGGCGCCATGGCTGCGTTGTTAAGACAATATTACGTGGCTCAGCACTACGTCCCACCGCAGGAACAATTCCTGCGTAAAGTCATCATCGCCCCTTACGGTGTACTTGGCACTCAAATGACACTGCAGGGAGGTGTTAAACGTGTGGCCTCCGAGCCGGATGAGAATACCGTGATTGTGGACACCGCCGATTTAAAACACATCTTCACAACCACAGAAGGCGCCAAAGGGGCTTCCGGGGCTATTTACAATTGGCTTGGACTGCAAGGACAGTTTCCAGATGATGTGGTGCGTGCCATCTCTCGTGTGTGTGATGCCAAGTGGTTTAAATATGCAGAAGATAAGAATGTCATTCATGTGATTGGACCCGACTTCCGTGAGGGTGTGTGGTCAGAGCGGGAAGCCGCATTGGAACTCTCTCGTGCCTATCGCAATACTTTACATGAGTTTGTGGTGAGTGAAGGGGATGTGTTGCGATTGGCACCTATTTCGAATGGAACAACGGCTGGGCCTTTATATAATCAACTCCCACCCATCACACAATCGGCTCTTACAATGGCGTTTGAGCAATTGCATGTGTTTGATCGGGAGTATTTACTGCGGCGGGATAAACATGTAGAATTGTGTGTGTTTATGAACAGGGAATGGGACATGTACCAGAGTGTCTTTAAGAATCGCGGAAAGGTGGTAAAGTTGTAGGTTAGGGCAAGAAGAAGAGGGAAAAAGAAGAAGAGGGAAAGAAAGAGAAAGAGAAATGAAGAAAAAAGAAAAAAAAAAGAAGAGTGAAGGAAATGAGAGAGAGGAGAGAGAGAGGGGTGAAACATTGAAAACAAAGTAAGGAAGAGAAAATGAGTTGAAGTGGTGTGTTTGATTTCTGTGAATGGACACTACTACTTTTTTTTTGATTATTATGGACGTTTTTCTCTTTTTTTTTCTTTTTATTATTATTATTATTATTATTATTATTATTATTATTTTTATTGTTAGTGCTGCTGTATAGAAGTCACTGAAAAACTCTCTAGCGGTTTTTTTTTTTTCCTTTTTATCTTTTTTTTCCTTTTTCTCTTTCTATCTGTTTGTTTCTATAGATTGAAGAGTCAATTAATTTTCTCTTCTCTCGTACATTTTTCTCTTATTTGTGTGTGTGTGTGTGGGTTTTTGTGTAACGTGTTTTCCCACCTCTTTTTTTTTTTCTTTTACAGTTATCACATATTCAAATACTGTGAATCACACAAGAATCAAAAAATATTTGCTTCTTTTCTTTTTAATTAACTTTATTTAAAGAAGAGAATTATTTTCTCCTCTTATTTCTTTTTTACATCATATTTTCATTTTTTTATGTATTTCTCTCCATATTTATCTCTTTTTTTTTGCTTTTCTAACCTTTTTCTTTTTTTTTGAGGGGTAGTACACACGGGGACGAAGGAAGAGAAGGATAAAATTATATATATATTTATCTATTTTGTAGTCCTTGTTTTGCATTTCGTGTACTTTTCTTTTTTTCTCTCAGAGAGAAAAAACAAAAGTCTGTACACCACAGGTATCGTGTTTTTTTTTTTTCTTTTTTGGAAAGCTGCTGCTATCTGCAGTAGTATAAACACATTATTAACATTCCTTAGCAAAAAAAAAAAGAAAAAAGAAAAGAAGATAGAGTACCAGTAATAAAATAGTGGTAACTCCAAAGAAAGAAAGAAAGAAAGAAAGGCGAAGTAACAACATTAGCAGTTGTTATTATTTGTAGTTGTAGTAGTGTGGTAGTAATAGTAGTTAATATAGTAGTAGATATCTGGTGTTAGTGGTGAAGAGTATCTAAACGCTTGTAAAGATGCTTCGACGAAGAATACTGCAGGCGGGTCCTCCTCCTCCACTTCTTATTACTAATATTAATACTATTAATACTACTAATACTAATAATAATAATACTCCATACTCAATTGTCTGCGTAACATCAAAACGTGGTATTAAGACACTTGATGTACGTGAGTACCGACCATTGGCAACACCCATTGAGTTTCGTTTTTATCAACGCTATGCAAATCACCCTAATCGACAGTCTGGTATACAGTTTCTCACTCACTATAATACCCACCAACGGTTTCGAGTGAGAAAAGACTATATTGATTATATGCATTGGGGTAAGGAACAAGGACAGGCACGTTTACCACACCGTCATCAACGTGTGGCCTTTGACTTTCATGATAATTTACATCCAACTCTTACCAATAGTGATAATAATAATAATAATGGTAGTTCACAATCATCCTGGTTTACAGAACAGGATCCTTCACTCACTTCCCATCCTGATCTCGCTACCAATTTTGATCCCAACCGTCGTGAGTTTTCACACCCAGAGCATTGGAATAAAATGTTTTCTAAACGACGCCCTGGTGAGGGAAGTATTGACTTGTCGGTATTACCCTCGCAGAGTCTACTCGGTCCACTCATGCGACACAGTGATACCAAAGGTAATGGATACTTTAAAGTGGATAACCGTGGACACACGGATGGATTAGTGCCTGGTGTGAATACCCCTTTTCTCGGGGAGTTTGATCAAAAGATGATGCAGGCCATGTCAAGACCATTGAATGCAGATCGAACGATTACCGGAAATGATGGACGTTTTTCAAAAACAATTATGATAAATGAACCAAAAACACATCAGGCTCTCAGTGCAAAGACGGCTAGTGAATTGGCTACGGAAATTGATAAGGCAACCAATGCGGTTTACTCAAAATTAACCGTTTTAGAAGCGGCACAATCTGGACTCACAAATTATTTTTGTGGTGGTTTGAATTTTGAGATGCTTGGATTTGATTTACAAATGGCAACCATTCTACGAAATCAGGCACGTGCTATTCTTGATAAGAGTACTGAAACTTCAGGAAAAACAACAACTTCTTCTTCTTCTTCGGGTTCTCCTTCCACATCTACTTTAACTAAATCTCAAGAACGTGAAGTGGAGATGTTATTACGAGATGCGGCACGTTATGAAGATCGAGTAGATGATACTTTACGTCAACATGCATCACTTATCTGGCGAGTATATAATGCTCCCAGACCTTTAATGACACTTACAAATGGAAAGTGTCGGGGAACTGGATGTGGAGTTTCACTTTATGCGAAATACTGTGCTCTTAAAGATTCAACAGAGTTTATATTTGATGGTCCTAATTTGGGAGTTACCCCATATGGAGGTCTTACTCGACTTCTTGCACGAACAGAAACTTCATTAAAGTATCCTGGACTTGCAGAGTTTGTCATGTTAACAGGTACTTCTCTCTTTGCTGGAGATGCCCTTCGACTTGGTTGGACAGATCTCTTTACCACTATACCAGATATGAGTTATTATATTAAAGAATGGTTTGATAACTCTGAACATATGCATAATGATGCTATTGCCTGGCAATTAGGTCATCTCTTAGATACATGCTTTAAAATGCGAGAGGCACATTCCTCCGCTATGGAACGAGCTGCTCTTTCACCCACTCGAGCTCGTTGGGTGGAGGATGCATTTGCGGATCAACCATCTGTTAAACACATTATGGATACTCTTAGTGAGATTGAACAATTGCCTCTTACAGCCGAACATAATACATACGATGATTCCAAATGTACACCATACACTTTAGAAGATGTCGCCGCAGGGTTACAGAAGTTAGAGGAACATCGTCTGCGGTATACACTCTCTCCATGGGATATCACACCACCAGAGGATGAAGTGGCACTTCAACATGCATCTGAAGTATTTAATGCCTATGTATTAGAACGACATGGTTCTGTAGATGTTGTAGTTCACCGAGATGCGGAGAAAGTTGCTAAATGGAATCGACAAAGACAAAAGGAGTATTATGCTTATCGCAGTCTACAAGAAGCTCCTCATCCACGTCATGTGTATGCTCGACTTGAAGGGTGTGAAGGAAAACTTGTTTCATTTGATTTTACCTTTTTAAAGGATCAGAAACAAAATTCCAATTCTAATTCTAATAATAATAATAATGATAGTAATAATAATCTGGAGGAGTTTCATTCCACAACACTTCTTGATTCACTGAAGCGACAAATACTTACTTCTCTCGAAATGCCTACAGATCGTGACATTGAATTAGGTTGGTATTTACCAACATTAGATACATGTCCTGTCTATAATGATGAAGAACTTATGCAGGTACTTCACGCTGATCCAGGTATTGAAGATCCACAATCACGTTTGAAATATCCACCTATTTATTTTATAGTAAAACGCAATACACTCTACTTTTCTGAATGGGCGTATGCGGTGAAACATCAAATGTTGCTTCAATCACCTTTTGCATTACGGGCAACTTTTGAACTGTTAGCAGAAGTACGTGGGGATGGTTCAGCAGAGCGTGTGATGCCCCTTGCAGAGACTCTTGCAGTAGAATTTAAATACTTTTCTCGATTGTTGCGTCGTCCAGACTTTTACAATGTTGGTGTTCACACTGATAAGTCTGCAGAACAATGGGAGGAGATTCGTGAGGAGCGTAGACGCAATATTCACAAAACACATCTCCCAACTCGACCACTACCAGACTTTGAAAGTGTCTTTGAACGAGATGTTACCCTAGATGGACACACATTCCGTCTTCGTCCACGCTGGTTTCCCCGTACATTACAAGATATCTCCGATAATGAGATCTTGCGATTACGTACACCACTCTCATATGATGTGGACGCTATTGTGCCGCTGCATGTCTCTCTGCAGTGCTCCACCGCCGATCGTCTCCCTTTCATGGTGGATGATGCTGGCGGTGCGGAAGTTGTGCGGGGACTCGGCGAGTGTGATGGCAGCACCGGTGCCCCACTGGCCCCCCCACTCACCTCCAACGCGCACGTTCCGACGAATGTGAACTTTTACGAAATGGCCCGTCATCCGTGGGGCGATGAGGCCTCGTCGTGGCGCCGCGATGGACACACGGCGGGTTCACTCGAACACTACGAGGCGCAGTACCGCACGGCTGTGCAGGCGGTGTACGATGAGGCGGGCCGCGGGGAACACAACTATTGGCCCTCGCGTGAGGCCTGCGAGGGTGTGAGCGGTGAGGAAGAGGATAATGCATTATTGCAACAACGTCTCTTCACACCACTGGAGGAGGCGGGAACAAATGTGGAGCCATGGGCACGTAATCTTCGCCGGAATGCAAGTGAAGGGAAATTGGCCTACAAGGCGGAGATCGCCACACAAGAGGAGAAGATATATGATGATGAGTACTACCGATGGTTTATTCAACCCGGACATCACCCCAACCCCAGTGGACTCATCTCAGGGCATAAGAAATCATCCACAACTCAGAGTGGTATGGATGAGGCAGAACTGGAACGTATCTGGCGCAGTGTGGCGGCTGAAGATGTTACTACAGGCACAACAGAAGGAGTGGATGAAGTGGATGTTACTACTAATCAGGAAATTGTGGAGGAGGAAACACTCATGGCTGATCCAGTCCTCTCCACAGATGGAGATGATAATAATTGAAACAACGTGATCCGGAGATTGTCTAAGGAAAATGCTTGTGTGTAGTAATAAGGGATGGAGAGAAGAAAAAGAAGAACTCTCTCCTCCTTCTTCTTCTTCATGAAGAAGAGAAAATGAGAAAACGTGCTGAATGCGATAAGAAGAATGAAAAAAAAAAAAAAGAACAGAAGAAGTGTGAGAAAAGAGAAAAAAAAAAATGAGAGGAATGAGGCGAAACGAGGGTTTCTGTTTTTTTATTTTTATTTTAAAAAGAATTTGCAGAAAAAGATGTTCCCTATTTGTTGTTTTGTTTTTGCGTGTTTGTTTGTTTGTTTGTTTGTAAGAGAGGTATTATTGGCTGTGAAAGATGTGATGCACAAGAAAGACGAGGCAAGAAAAAGAAAAAAAGAAATCCATTTGACATACATACATATACATACATATATACATATATATATTCTTTTTTATTGATGGAGGTGTTCAGAAGAGCTCCTTTCCTATTTTAGTTTTCCTTCTTACTTTTTTGTAATGTGCTTAAACTGTTCTCACTTATTTCTCTTTTTTTTTTTTAAACTATTAACTACAAATGAAAAGAGGTAGAGCAAGGCGAGATAGTTACAGACAGGTAACAGCAGCAACACACAAACAAAAAGAAAAAAAAAAAAAAAATGGTTGCAGTTCGCGCAAAGGTTGGCTCCCGTGGCTTCATCCGTCAGAAGCAGCTGTCAAAGGGGAAGAAGGTGTTCAAGATTGACTGCAGCATCCCCGCCAACGACGGTATCTTCAGCGAGGAGATCCTCAGCAACTTCGAGCAGTACTTCCAAGATAATGTGAAGCTCAACGGCCGCAAGGGAAAGCTGACAGAGAAGGTGCGTATCAGCATGCGCGACAACACACTCGCCATCACCACAACGATGGCATACCGCAAGAAGTACTTCAAGTACCTCACGAAGAAGTTCCTTAAGAAGAAGGATCTCCGTGACTGGATCCGTATTCTTGCCAAGGGTAAGGATATGTACCAGCTCAAGTACTTCAACATCCAGGACCAGGAAGAGGCGTAAAAGAGGAAAAGAAAAAAAAAAAAAAAGATTCTTTTGGTCAGGGAGAGGAAGAGTGTGTGAGAGTATGTGTGGTATTTTGATGAGCAAGACGTTTGAGTGTAACTATGAGGATCACCGTTACGCGTCTATCTCAACTTCCGTTGAAGTGCGTTTCGTACTTTGCTCCGCCGTATTTTTTTTTCTCCTTTTGTTTTTTTTATTGTTTCTAAAATTTAATTCTTTCTCTTTTGTGTGTTTCTTTTTTTTTTTCCTTCACTTTGTAAAGACGTGTTTACCTTTTATACACGCAATTTAATTATGTAGCTGAAAAACTTATGATTTTTTTTTCTTTTTCTTTCTTTCTATTCTTTCTATGGTTGTAATTAAATTACTTCTCAAAATAGAAACGTGTTACCCTAGACCAGATTACTGGACCAGAGGGATATATATCTATATATATATTTATATATAGATATATATATATATATTAGGTGGTTGGGAACACAGTAGCTGTGTGTAGTGTAGTGTAGTCTACTGACATCACACAACACACTGGTATTTACGATAACCTCTTTCACTGTCTGCAGAGGGGGGAATTGGATAAACAGTTTCCCTTTCTGTGTGTGAACCTTTGAGTAAATCCACCAACCAACCAAACGAACTAATCAAGGAAACATCCATAACTAAATAAAGAGAAAAAGAAGAAGAAGAAGAAAAAAAGAAAAGACATTATGTTGCGTTGCACGAATGTTGTACTTAATTACAGAGCGGCACTTGAGCTTGACCGTATTCGCAGCATGCTCCGTGGAAGAGCCCGACTGGAGCGTAAAGTTGGATTGAAACGTCTTTATTTTCTCATGCGCACACAAACCCGTTATCGTGTGGAGCAGCAATCCCACTGGAACCGTGCGATTGTGCGAAAGAATGTAGACAGTGCGGCCCGTGAGCACGGCTCCGGATGGCCACAACTCCGCAATGAGTTGGCACGACAAAACATGATTCTCCTCCCACACACGCAACAAACATTAGCGCAGTATGAGCCGCTGGCCTTTCGCGCTGTGATGGAACTCTGCGCCTCCCGCATTCCCCCACCGCCGCCGCCCGCCCTAGTGGAGGTGCCAGAGGAGACTTATGTAGATTGGGCAACCATCAGAGAAAAAGAAGAGGAAGAGGGTAAAGGGAATAAATCACATCCCGCCGCCCGCGTGGAACTGCGCAGAGGAGTGGAGCGAGTGTTGCAACAGAGTGGTCCATCGCTCCTGCGGGATGCTGTGAATGGGAATGTAGAGAAGTTGATGGATGCGTGGAAGGAGTTTGATGTGGTGGCCTCAAGAGGAGGAGAGAAGAAATAGCTGTGTTGATGAGATGTGGGGGTTATACAGACGTAAATGACATTTGCAGAGGTATGAAACTCAACTCTCTTATAAAGACCAGAATGGATAGCGATTTGGTTTTTATCAAGTTGATGAAAAAAGAAAAAAAAAAGTATTTCTCTCCTTTTTTTTTGCTTTGTTTTGATTATTATTCTTTGTTATTTATTTATTTTTTTTGCATTTATTTCATTAATATATGTATATATGTTTTACTTCTATTCTTGTTTGTCCTTTTTGTTTATTATACATATCCGTTTTATATATATGAAGGAAAGGTGTGTGGCGTTAGAAGAAGAAGATGTGCGATACTAGCACAAACTCTGCTTCCTCCTCTTCTGGAGGGTTAGCCAACAACAATAACAACAATAGTAACAACAATGATAATAGCAGTAATAGAAATGATAATTGCAATTCATGTCTTAAGAGTTTTTGTATTTACTCTCCTGTTCTCTCTGGATGGAAAGAGGAACGAGCAATGGATAATATTCTCTATTTTTTCCCTCCACATATTCCGGAAAGTGTACAAATGAGTCATGTTGGTTTTTGTATAGGACTCTCCTGTTTAGCAGAACGGTTTGCGGCTTTAGTTCCTGTAAATGAGATTCGAACAAGTGATGGTATTATTTCACTCTGTTGCCCATTTCCGGATCTTTGGATAGTGGTGGAAGTCACTGCCGTGTATGATAGCTCAGCTGTGGTGCCAATCTTACGAATTGGATTTGATACTTTCATCTTAAGATGCGGCCGTTCAACCGTAGAGGCGTTGATTTCAACAGATGGATCCCACACAGCGGAAGAAATACGTTTGGCCCGGGCATCTCTTAAGGATTTCTTTGAGAAGTTTGCACTCTTTCTACAAACACGTGTATTCTTGTTGGATATTCGTCAAGCTGTAGACATGTCCGTATGTTCGTTCTTATCTACACATACATCTTCTTCTTCTTCCCCATCAACACTAGGAGGAAGTAGAAATAATAATAATAATAATAATAATAATAACAGTGGTAGTAGTAGAATGGCTAATGTACGACGGTGTAAACGTCGTTGGGCGGCTGTGGCGAATGCCGAAAGTCTTCTCGCCTTTCCTGTTTTTATTCGTCCATCAACACAAGCCGTTCAATTTATGTGCCACAGTTTAGTCTATCGTCAGTTATCACTCTTTTTAACAGAAATATCACAGAGTAATAGTGTGAATGGAGGCATTAGTAATACTAGTAATAGTAATAGTGGTAATAGTAACAAGAAATCTTGTACAACTGGTTGGGGTCAAGAGTATCTAGGTGTGGTCGCTTCTATTAATGTATCCGAGTTAAATAAAACTGCTGAAGAACGACTTGTATGGACAAGCTGTAAATATATTGTATTTGCAGAAGAGACATTGAAAGTAATTGTTTCCAATGCCTCTCATAAACTTGTATCACAGTTTATTTCTTTATTATTGATAGAGACAATGGATGCATTAGATTTTACTACACTTGTAGATAATGAGACTTTCCATTGCTGTGTCTGTCGTTCATCAGGTGTTATTTTTATTTTACTCGTGAATTATCATTTACTCTCCTCTTCTACACTTGATATTATGCATCTCACCTGTCGAGTCATCACAGATGATATTGCGGAATATTTGGCAACTGGCAGTTGTGCCTTTATTCGTGAAGGAGGGAATATTGGATCTGTTGAGATCCAAGGAATGAAATTAGGTCCTTGTATGATACCTCCTATTCATAGTAGTGGAGGAGATTCTTCATCTTTTTCTTTTACTAATAATAATACTACTACTAATACGAATACTACGAATACTATGGGTTCATTCTTTAGTAGTGCCCCTCCAAGTTTTCCAAAATTACGAGATTCAAAATTAACGTTTCAATGGACTGTATGGTATAATGGAATGATTGCGGGTTCACCCATGCGTGAATACCCTCGAGTGGTTCATCTCTTAATGTCATCCATAATGCGTACACTCATTCAACGGATATCAGATGTTAATCAAAAGGAAGATGGAATGGATAATCATAGAAAGCGATCACCTCCCTACACTTCACTCATACATGAAGGGAATACTGATAATAATAATAATAATAATAATAATAATAATAATAATAATAATAATGCTTTGGTTTGCCATTCAAATCTATCTGATGGGGTAATTGAGGTTTGGACATCCATACATGGAGCTACTTGGCTTTGTGTAACTGAACAAGATGGTCGAGTGGGTGGAATGGTGTTTTACAATTACGCTCCACTGAAGAGTTGCTTTGAAATTGTTGCCGAGTTACGTCAGTATATGTCTTTGCTTATGTGAAATAATCACTTCTTCATCTTTTTTTTTTTCTTTATTATTGTTACTATTATGATGATGATGGTTATTATTATTATTATTATTATTATTATTATTATTATTATTATTATGGAGTCCTTATTGTTTCTTTTGTTTATTTATTTATTTATTTATTTATAGTATAATTATTATCGTATAAGTGACCAGATGTTAAGTCCTGATGACAAGACTGTCCCATTTCCTGCAAATGGATTATTATCCTCACCAATGCCTGTACGTAGGAGAATGGGTGATGTATATCCCATTATGAAGGGATCTATCTATGAAGATGATGATTGTTATGTAGATACGGCATTAATAAGAGATGATGACTTTGGAGGACGAATTATTCTCTACTTTGCAGGTGTTTTTCAATTATTTACAAAACATCCAAGAATAATGGGATTTCTCTTAACATCCGCTATTTTATTATTATTTTTTAAATATTCACAGGTGATAGTAGTAAAGGCTGTACACTATGCTCTCTCAAGTCATCCAGGATTAGAAACCAGTGATGATCTTCGAAGTAGTGCTGTCTCCTTCTCACATGATCTTGAAAGTTTTGTAAATGTTGCTAAAATGATTGCATGGTCTTATCAATTCCGAAATATCAGTGGATATGATATTAACACACTGCGTGGAAGTGCCTTTTTAAATTTATTATATAGTTATGAAATTGCCATGGGATCAAGAATTCGTCATGCCTTTGTACTATACGAGATTCCAAGTCATCTCACCAATTCTTCTTCTAATACTACTACTAATACTCCATCATCATCATATTCATCATCTTCATATTCATTATCATCATCATCATCATCTTCAACAGAGATGATATCATCTTTACTTACTTTAAATGAAGAAAACGCATCAGAAATTAAGCGGTGGGGACAGGTTGGATGTATGGAACCAGGCAGTGCCGATACCCGTAATAACGCACAGTTTTCCACATTATGTGCCTATGTGGATCCTACAGGACGATTAACAGGATTTAACGGCACAAACGTCTCTAATATTCTCTACACAAGTGATGATGGATTTGTGGAACATCTTGACTTTGTACGTGAGGCACAGAAGTTAACACCTAAAGACCGTGAACGAGGTGTATGGCAACGTCCTAATAAATATCAAGATCGATTTTACAATCAAACCTTATATGTTATGACCTTTGTGTTGCCTATTCACTTTGATTCTATTACGGGTAAATGTACGGCCGTTGCGGGAGTGGAAGTATCGCTATCGAGTTTAGCAGAAGCCATTAGTGTCCCTGCAACCAACACAGAGGTGGTGTTAGTCGATACACGTTATTTACAAGAAGAGGGAGGACAATTTGTAGTAGATACTATAGAGACAGATTTACTTGGTGTAACTCCTTTTCCTTCTACAGCTACACCTCGTGAACGTATTAATACAATGGCTTCTACTATTCTTCGTCAACATGGTGGTAAACTTTTACAAAATGGTTCCTTTTTTGAAAATGGTCTTGTTTATCAATCATTAACACTTATGGATACATGGATGCTTTTCGCACGTTCTCCACTTGTGTTATCCGCAGCGGAAGTACATGCCTCTTTACGTTCACTTCTCACTGAACATGAACGTCTTGCAGCTGCGACGATGCTTAATTACGAAAGTGGAGTTGAATGTGAATTGGCGGCAAATGAAAAACATAATTCACGTTTTCTTGAGGCTTTAGGTGTTATGCAAAGAACATCTGGTTCTCATATTAACTCTTTATATGTGGCCTATCAACTTACGAATACTACGACTACTACTACTACTATGGAAAATGTTTGGGGAGCCTGTGGATGTTTTTTAAATGTTAAATTAAAAGATCAATTAAGATGTTTTTATACTAATTCTGATGGTATGGAAATTTCCTTTGATGGTGTTTCACTCTCGGAAAGTAATAATGTAAACACCACACGATTTAATGAGACTCCACGAGGTGAGTTTGTGAAGAATCGAGTTCAAAATATCACCTCCATTAGTGGAGAATGGACAAAGCCTTATGTTTTAGTAGATCCCATTAGTAATACTCAAATAAGCGCATTTAGTTTTATTCAACCATCATTGTTAAATAATTTTAATAAAAATGGACCACGTGCGGCTGCTATTGTAGATCTCGCTATGAGTTTTTTACCGGAATTCTTAAATGCCAGTACTCGTCTTGGAACTACAGGACTTTTTCTTATTGATCGACGTGATAATAGTACCTTTATGGGTACACGGGTACTGACGACTACAGATATCGTCTATCCTGGAATGAATACACCAAATAAAACTATAAATAGATTTACTACTGCTGTTTATGAGGAACTTGGTGGTTCTTTTAATCATTCTATTTCTTTTTCAATGGAGGGACAATTAGTGAATTATGAAGTAATAGAACCTCATTGGGGTCTTGTTGAAATCATTCCAGCAGATGTGGCTCTCTTTCGTTTTCTACCTTCTCCATCGGTAAGAGGGGCTACAGATGCATTGCGACTCATACCAACAGGAGAAACGGTTTTATTATTTTTATTTGTAGCTGGAATCTTTGCTTCGTATATGTTAAATCTACTCATTCTTGGCTGTAGTAAACTTGGAAAAAGACAGAGGGAAGTATCTGTGGTGATTAGTGATTGTGGGGTTTAGTGTATTTCATATAATACCTCTCCATTATTTGAGGTACTCTTCTCCTCTTTTTTTTTTGTCTCTCTCCCTCTCTCTCTCTCTCTNTATATATATATATATATATATATATATATATATATATATAGTTTCATTTGCAATCTGATATCACAATGTGGTTGTATTGTATCGTTTCGGATTACGGTCATCAATTCTATCGTTACTGTTGTTTTCTTTCTCTTTCTCCTTCTCTCTCTATATTTATATGTATGTGTTTTTTGTGCTCCTTGTTACTGCTATTTATAGAAACTATTTTTTTTCTTTACCTCTCTTTTATTGTACTTTTTTTTATTATTATGTATTTTTTATACTGCCTTGCAGACACAAGAAATAAAGAGAGAGAGAGAGAGATCAGAATCAAAGCATACATATATATATATATATATTAAAGAGAAAAGAAAAAGAAGAAGAAAATGTCTTCAACGTTTCCTTCTATTCCTGGTTACAATGGACCATATTCACTAAAGGAATTTGTGCAGCGGCTATTCTCTCTGCAGTTACGGTTTGAAACTTCTCTCCTTTCCACTACGGCACAACCCACTAGTGAGAAGATTCTCTTTCTACAACCCACAGGAGACTTTGTAGTGATTGTCTATATCTCTCTCAGTGCCCCACCTCCTCCACCTCCTCCCACCTTAACATCAACGGCAGAAAAAGAAAAAGGAAAAGGAACTCTAAAGGCATTAACAATTGCAAATGATACACGATTGCGACCTTTATCCACATCTCTACATGGAAGACCTCTCACATTATCCGTACTTGCACATCCATTATTGGATTCCTTCTTTACACAGATGGGAACAACTGCTGTGAATTTTATAGCGCGTTATTGTCCAATGATTGTGCAGTTTCAACCCACTGCTGGTGGATTACAAGTGTTTGGTCCTCCTTTAAAGAATGCCATTCCACGTGGAGTGAAACATCACCGTCGGGCAGAGAAGATGGGAACTCGTAAAGTAATTATACGGCGTGAGAGTTCTTTCATAAATAAACAACCTCAACATAATAAGAGTTCCGTGTTATTACCATCCTTGTATCAATTGAATGTTTCTCGTTTACCATTGATTGGAGAAGCACCACAACGGACCTTTGCAGAGACCAACGATACCATCTCTCCATTAATGGAAGGTTTATGGAGGGAATACTATCATAATAATAATAATAATAATAATAATAATAATAATAATAATAATAATAATAATAATAATAATAATAATAGGGGTAAGGTTCATTTGGCAACTCGTTGTTCACTTGTTAGTGGAAATAAAGAGATACGATGCTCAGAAGGTTGTAATGCATTGATAGCCGCCAAACAATTAGTACATTTTGTATTTCCGTACACATTATCTGTGGAATCTATTGGAGCTACGAATAAGAATAGTGTAGAAGAACACTTAACACATGTACTTCACTGTGTTTTGGGTAGTGTGTGTCGTCTAAACCTTCGAGGAGCTGCCATTAAACATGTTGGATTTTTAGAAGAACGAAGTCGTACTATTTGCTGTAATAATAATCATAATAATAATAATAATAATAATAATAATAATAATAATAATAATAATCGTCGCTGTCGTCGACGCACGGAGTCCGTGAAACCCACCACTGTTGCGGTATCTGAACTAACAACACCAGAGGCTATCATTGTATCCTATTTACAAACTCTATTTGAAAATATGCGTTGGTGTGCACCTCACTCAACGGAGCGAATAAACTTTTGGGGAGGTTCCATCATATTAACAGAGTTTTCTCCCATCATATTAGATTGGCTTAAATGTGGGAGACAGGAAATATTTCCACTTTCTCATTTTCTACATAAAATAACAGTTTCTCATATTCCATGGTTACGTGGGTTCTATACGAAAGGATTTACACCCAAACGTCGTTCGATGATTCAACAACGAATCTTTCTACAATTAGTATTCTTTCTCTTTCAACACGTTGTGCCTTTTCTCTTACGTTCATCATTTCACATTACGTGGTCCTCTAAAAATCCAAATAGATTTGCTTTTATTCCTAAACCGGTATGGACACGTCTGGTCTCTCGTGAACTGAGGCAAGTATGCCTTTCACGCAGAAAAGGAAATATTGGGGAGTGTAAAGGCAATCAACAAGTGATGTTACCACCCATGTCATTGAAGCGGATCACCAAAGAAGAAATGATTTGGCCTAAAAGAGATATTCAACAAATAAATGATTATACGCATCATTTTAATAAAATTACTACTAATACTACTAATACTACTAATAGTGATATATCTCTGGTGTATTCTTCTATTCGATTTCTCTTGGATCGTCATAAACTACGTCCCATCGCACGTGTTCGCTTTGGTAAACTACGTACTTTATCGAAAATGATAACTTGTGTGCATTCACCATTATTTGAAAGCACTGCGAGAAAAACAAAAACAAAAACAAAAACAACAACAACAACGACAACAAGTAATATGGCTATCAAGTCTCCAAACTCATCTATTCTACGAGAATCTTTACGTTGTCTCCTTGCAGGTATAGAAGAGTCTCAGGAAGGATCCACTCTAGTGAAATTCACTAACGTATCGCATCAAAATGAATACGCAGATATACGTTCCTTTGTTGAAGGAGCACGACATTTTTGTTCTTCTCCTTTATTAATGCCTAATAATGACATTTCATGGAAGGCACCAATGGAAAGAGTTGTAGTAACAATGGTTCGCGGAGATGCGGTGCGGTGTTATGATCGCCTTCCACAAAAGGCCATAATGAATGTAGTAGAAGATCTTATTAAACATGAATTATACAATACATTGTGGTTAACGGCTATTGCACCATCTTCCTCTAGTAATAATGATTGTATGAATAGACGAAGTGTATCTCATGAATATACAGAAAATTCACTCCCTAGGTTAGGAGAAGATATTAGTAACTATTATGAAGTACCATTACGCCAATTTACACGTCTTCAGACGGTGCCTAGTCATCATGTAGAGAAGGGTACACTTCCTGGTATTCCTAAAGGATGGATTCTATATGAAGAGATTGCACCTTCTTCGGATTCTGTAATCCGTGGTGATGAGATACGGACAGTGTTAAAACAACATTTACAATCTCATCCTGTAATGATTGATGGTAAATTATATACACAAAACTTGGGCATTACACAAGGTTCAGCAGTAGCGATGTTTCTCTGTAATACTCTTCTAGAGACTGTGGATGTATCGTTATCAAAGATTCTTTCTGAACATGAAGAACCTTCACTATTACTAAGACGTGTGGATGATGTTTTAGTAGTAACACTTTCATCTATAGCCGCTTTACGTTGTGATGCTGCTCTTCGCACAGGATGGCCCGAAGTGGGATTTGCCTGTCAGTGGAATAAACTACAATGTACGAATACTAAATGTATACCATGGTGTGGATTATTGTGGAATCCACAGACATTAGAGTTTAGTGTGGAATGGGCACGATTGGCATCTCTTCTTCCATCTATTGCCGTACGTCCGAGAACAGGGAATGAACTGTTGCATTCTTCATTGCGATTGGTGGGTATTATTTGTTTACGTGCCCCACTCACTGTCTTTTGTCGACGCATTAATTCAAAGGCACGAGTTGTACAAACATTATATGAGATGAGTCTTCTCTGGTCACGTTTTGTACTACATAAAATGGTGGAAAATGCCCATTTCATGCGGCCGCATATGCGTATAATTTTAAAACCTCTTGCATTGGCGATTACAGCTTTAAAGCGTTTACTGCGGCGGCAAAGAGAAGCTCTTGAACGGGCAGGTTCTTTCTGCGATATCACAGATGAGGATGTGCGACTTTGTGTTCTGCTGGCTTTGTATAGATCACTGGATAACCTGTTACCGTGGATGATAGCGAGAGTACGACGAAGTAAAGGAATAACAAGATCCTTTTTGCTGCTTTTACGAGGAGTTGTAGAACGAAAAATGGAGACAACACTTTTAATGAAAACTACTGCTGTTGACACTCAAAAGAGGAATGTTATTATTGATGTTTCTTCTTCTTCTGTTACTACTAACAATAATAATAATAATAATAATAATAATAATACTCCCCCTCAAGAAGAAGTAGAAGAAATTGTTGGTAACAATAGTAGTGATATTGCGGATAGTGTTGGTATGTTGCTATTTGCAGAGGGTTCTGACACTGTTACGATGCGTGCTCTTGCTGCGGTACGATTTGTTTCTCCACAAGCGCCGGCTTAAGGAGAGGATCTCAGAATTCTTATATCGAATTACATGGAATCACTGTTAATTATTATTATTATTATGGTATGTGTAGTTTATACATATATATATATATTTTTTTTTTGCTCCTTTCCTGGTTCTTTGAACCGAAAAAAAAAAATGATGAATAATAAAAGTAAAAAAAAAAAAAAAAAACAATAATCATACACACACAAAAAAAAAAGAAAAAGAAAATTAAGTAAATTGGATACAGATTTCTTATTCATGTCTCATTCATTCATTCATTCATCTATGTTTATTCTTCTTTTCTTTTTTTTCTGCAATAATTATGCTTCAACTTTTTCTCTCTAGATCGGTTTAAGGAAGGAAAGAAAAGGGGATGGAAGACGGCGCGACCATTGGACAGTGGAACAATAGAGAAAAAATGCCAAGTGAATTGGAAGATTCCGTAAAGGGATCTGTGCCGAGTCCAAGAGGGAGTTCCGTTGGTTTCTTAACTCCAACACCAGACGGTACACAAAGTGCAAATATGGCAGTCCCTAAACGACCCTCAGATCCAAACAAATCCAACAGTCGAAACAGTAAAGATAAGAATGTACAGAAATTGCCACTTATTTTAAACAAACGTGATAAAGTGAACAGTCCACCCGTTGGCCCTGCAGCCCCCGCAGCACCTGCAGCCGCAACGACGCCAACAACAACAACAACAACAACAACAACAACAACCAAAACAACAACAAACACAACAGTGCCTGTCGCCGCTGCTGCTGCTACCAGCACCCACACCGCAGCCACAGGAGGAGCAACGGCCGCTGCCAAACCACGCGGGAAGTCTCAATCGCGAAAGCCGCGAAAGGTCAGCACCTCCCGCTCCTCCACGCCGGGCCGCCGCGGCAAACGCCCGTCGCCCGCCAGCAGCCGCCCGTCCAGCAGCTCGAAGAGCCCGCAGAAACGCCGCGCCTCCCGCTCCGCGAGTACGTCCCGTTCGCGCGGGGGGTCGCGCAGTTCGTCGGCGGCCTCCTCGCGGCGGGTCTCCGGCCGGGGGCGGCCCCGCAGCGGCGGGCGGAAGGGGTCGGCGAAGGGCCGCAAGTCCCTGAAGGGCCGGAAGGGCACCCGGAAGGGATCCGTCTCCTCGCGGCGTAGCACCAAAGGGGCGGGGGACGCAACCGCCCTGTACACACTAGCGGCCGCAGAGGAGGCAGCCCGATCAGTTCTCATGGAAGAAGAAGAAAAAGGACGTGATGCGCTTTTGCCGGATTATCATTTACTGGTTATGCATGTTGTGCGTACGCAGGTACGAGAGGTGAATCGACGACAGCAGCAATTGAATGATGCCTTTAAGGCTTTACAGGCTCATGGAATTCAATTATCATCGGGTCAAGATCCTAACGCGGCATTAGAGGCGATGCGGGCGAAAATGCAGGCAGATGCTCAAAGACAAATGGAGGAGCTTCGTGTTGAAAATGCAACATTACGTGGTTTACTGGAGGAGAAAAAAGTAGAACTGGAAGAGAAAGTTACAGAAGCTCAGAGTTTACGGGATAAGATAAGTCGTAGATTGATGCGATTTGAAGTGGAAAATGAATCCCTAAAGGCGGAAGTACAAGCGGCATTACAAACAAATCAACTGGATGTAGATCGCATGAAGCGTGAACTTGCCCACCGCCTTGATGTGGCTACTGCATCTCTACGAACCCCAAAATATGATACAGCGTTAAGATCTATGCAAGAACTTGCGCAAAGTGTGCAAGAGGAAATACAAGAACATCATGATGTGTTAAGTAAACTTATAGTCTCCATAGCTGCACAAGATACATTTTTACGTGATAGGAGTGATTCCATGCACAGTAATTTTCCGACGAGATATCGTGATGAGTTACGGAAGCTTGATAAAGATCATCTTCTTAATGTTTTGGATGTTCTCTCATTCCACGATACCGTTGTAGAGACAGTTGGAAAAGCCCTCTATGTGTTGCAAAAGTCAGAGCATAGCACAAATGTATTTTGATCTCTCTGAAATTCGTTTTTTTTTTTCATGTATTATAGCAAACGTTGTTATTTTTGGAATTCCCTATGGACGGCGAAATAACTAACAACGTTTCTTGTTTTTCTTTTTTTTTTCTCTTTCTTTCCTTGTTGCTATGAGTACTTCTGACAAAAAAAAAAAAAAAATGAATTCAAATATGCAATATATATATATCCGTTTAATTTTTCATTTTGTTTTTTTATTCTATTGATTGTTTCTTCATATGCATATTTTTTTTCTTTTCTTCTTCCTTTTCTCTTTTTCTCTCTTTTCTGCACTCAGTAGAGTAGACTTTACCGATGGAAGGCACACAAATGAGTGGTTACACCGTAACTCCTCACTCTTCCCCACCTCTCCTATTACCGTCAACCACCGCTATTGCTACTACTACTACTATTACTACTATTACTACTATTACTAGTGCAGCGACTCCACCACTGTTAGGATCAGCAACAGCCGTATCAACCCTATCCTCCTCTTCCTCCTCTTCAACATCATCATCATTGCGTGTGGGCAGTCAAAGAAGTAAAGAAATAGTTTCCCCTCAAAGTATTCAAATAACACAAGATGGTTCTTGGCATTGTATTTGCGGCACTATCTCTACGACGTCGTCTAGTTTTTTTAAACATTCTCGTAATTGTTCCGTAAGAAAGGGCATATCATCATCATTATCACTTGAAAAGAAGAAAACTGTTGAAGATCCACCTACTGTGCGAGAACAGATGTTTTTCTCACTTCAAGAAGCTGTGGCTTCTGGGAAACTGCTGGGTGATTCCCTTGCAGCTGCTGTGAATGCCATTCAATCTGCAACAGAAGAGAAAAAGGAAGACACACATATAAGAGGATCGTGGCGACTAACAAAAACTTTTCTTCCCGTATCTGGTAGTGCACTTATTTCAGCAGCAACAAGAATAGCTTATACTACTCCTAGTAGTAATAGTAATAATACTATTGTGGATAGTAATGATGTTGGGAAAATGCAAAACAATGTAGAGATGAACAGCGTGTCTGTTAATGAAAAGGAAGGGACCACTGATGATAATGATGATAGAAGTTGCAGTTCTCCTTACTACACTGTACTGCCGCAGGGTTTACCAGTTTCCAAGAGAATTCAAATAACCCGTACATATCGTCATCGTGCTGCCTTTGTAGTAAGTGAGAAAAATATGAATTCTTCACCTCCACAAAGCAAAGAGCATGTGGAAGAGAATAATAATAATAATATTGATAATAATACATTATTATCATCATCACCACCACAACAACAAGATGCTTCTTCCTTTCCTTCTGTTTCTTCTTCGCCTCTTTCTGTTCCTCAAGAGTTTCCGGTATTACAGTTTAATACCACACATTCTGACATGTCATATTATGTGTATAAACGTTTTTTATCTCGGGATGACTTGAAACTGGAGTCGAATGAAGATGATAATAGTAATAATAACGATGATGATGAGTCTAGAGCAAAGAAATCCAAGATGGATTTTCCTTGTATGGATAAAGTGTTGCGACAGGAGAGAAGACGCATAGCTCGTGTTCCTATGCCGGTGATTGAATGGAATTATCCCAAGTAAAAAAAAAAAAAAAGGGGGTTGTGGGTGTGGGGTGTTGTAAAGTATATTTAATCTTAGTGTTGTTGCTATACGAAAAATAGATTTTTTTTTTTCTTTTTTTGGAGAAATAATGACTGACAATTTCTTGTAAAAAGGATATAATTTTTTATTTTTTGTTTTTTTATGCTTTAAAAGGTTAACATTTTCTTTATTTTTTCTTTAAATGCACTTTTGCTATTTTTTTTTTTTTTTTCTATTTTTCTTCTAGTTCTATTATTAGTAGAGGAATATGGGCCCAGTTCATATACACCGTAGGACTCTTTTATTTATTAAACACCAAATCTTCTCTTCTTTGCTTAGAATATTTATCTGCGGTTTATTAATATTCCTTTTCGGTGTTTATGTTGGATCTTTTTTTTCCTATGAACTTCAAGAAGGCTCTTCATTTAGAGGAGAAGGTGGTATATGGAATGGAATGAATATTTTTGGTGGACATTATGGGCTTAGTGAAGCTGAATCTTTCTTTATAGATATTGATGAAACTAATACCAGTTGTCTGGAATCTACTGTTAAGATGTATAAACAATATGCAGCCACTGCAGCTGCGGTTGAGCAAACAAGAAGTAGAGAAGGTATGTTAAGAATTGCTGGTTTCTCACGTTTATGGATTCCACCTCTTCATGCCACTGGTGGTATGCAGTTTCATGCTTTTCATATCTATTCACAACTAGCAGCACGAGGTCATTACGTGCATGTTTTCGTTTCTGGTTCTCAAAGAAAAGCATTAAAAACATTACGATATTGTACAGATCCCAACACACATTTATCAACACTTTGCAATGATGAAAATGCACTGCTTGTAGTACAGCAAATTGCATCTACAAAAGATGGTGAATACAGTGTGGAATGGCTTAAAAATTGCCAAGCTGCATTTCATGCTGTTCATGCTAAAAAACCATTTGATGTTATTCATAGTGAAAGCTGGTCTGCAGTACCTAATATTTTTCAATTGGGTGTACCTTTTGCTGTTACTTGGCATGGATCTATGTTGGATTGGTTTAGAAATGAATTAAATTATATTGTACACAATTTTCATTTAAAACATAAAATGCCAGGTCCAAATGTAATGAAGCGTATGCAAGCACTTTCCTCTGCGGTAGCATTAGAGGAATATATGCTTCTTACCGTTCCTCATCATATTGTGATATCCGATGTAGCGAAACATGACTTAATAAATATTCAACATATTCCACCAGAGCGGGTGGAACTTATTTACAATGGTGTGAACCGACATTTATTTCGACAACGTGAGGGCCGGGAAGTACGTAATGCCTTTTTAACCCAACATCATGTACCTCTTGGGAATTTTATCGTGGGTTGCGGTGGTCGTTTAGAGGCTATTAAAGGTCATCTTCAACTTTCTACGGCAATGCGTCTTATTATGAAAAGATTTGGGGATGTTACTCTCCTCGTTGCCGGGGATGGAAATCAAAAACCTCTTTATCAAACTTTACGAGCGGAAGGATTTTCTGTTGTGATGTTAGGAATGCTAAATCAAGAAAACTTGGCTTATTTCTATCAATCCCTGGATGTTTTTGTGGATCCCTTCTATCAATATCATGGTCTGAACACTGTGATGATTGAGGCGGCCCTGTCGGGAGTCCCGCTTGTGGTAACAGATCTGGGAAGTGCACGCTCTGTCGTGCCGTGTAAAGCGTATGGACGGCGATTTCCTCTCGGCAATGTACCCGCACTCGTTAGAGAGATTTTATATTATAAAGTACATCCAGAGAAGGCCGCAGAGGCCGCACGTAATGCCCGTGAACGGGCCATGCATCTCTTTGGAAGTGATACGATGGCAAGTCAATATGAAAGTCTCTTCTACCGTATAAAGAATCAACCAGTCGGGTCACAGAATATTACAGGGAAACTTGTATGCAATCATGTCTATCCGGCACTATGTTACCGTGAAGTGTCTTAAACCACATTAAGGCTCACATTAAGAAGAAAAAAAAATATATATATACATATATATACATATATATTCCTCCTTCTCTTGAGTTTTGAACGATACAGAAATTGGCTAAAGGAGCAACAAACAATAGCAAGAACAAGAAAAACAAACAAAGAAGCAAAAAAAAAAAAAAAATATGCCCGAATGATGACAAAATGGTTTCTAAAGAAAAGAGGGGATTAAAAAAGATAGAGTTTGCTTTGGTTTTTTTTTTTTCTTTGTTCTTAACAACCAAGATCGAATGAAATGCTTTTGCTCCTTATATTTTTTCCTTCTGACCGTGTCGTTTTTTTTTTGTTTATTGCTTTTTTTTTGTATTCTGTTTTCCCCACCTACCCACCTACCTACCCTTTTACTGTTGTATATTTATATATATATATGTGTGTAAGTGTATGTGTATATATATATTTGTTTTCTCTTTTCTCTTTTTTACTTGTTTATTCTACTTAAAGCCTATATAACTGTTGTGGTGAAAACAGCAAAGTAATCCCGATAAAAAAAAAGAAGTGGAGGAGGGGAATTTGAACCGATAAAAGGTTTGCGCACTCTTTGTGTGTGTGTGTGTGTGTGCAAAAAGGTTTGCAGACAAATCACACTTTGTATTTGTTTTCCTCTTGATAACGTCCCTTCCCACTCCCACAGAGTGAAAATAGTGTGAATATTTTTTTTTTCACTGCCGAATCTATCCACAACAGAAAGGATAGGAGAAAAAACCACTAGAGAAGAAATAAGAATAGTAAAAAAAAAGTAGAGCTAGAGAGGAAAAAAAAATAAAAAAAAAAAATGCAACCATCTGCACTACTTAATCGACAGGAACGAGAACTGGCGAGTGAAGCTCCTGTTCTCATTAATGTATCTCGTGCGGAGGCCCAACTGCAGCGGGAATTAGATCAAAGCACGGCTGAACGTAGACGTGTGGAGGAGCGACAACATGTCGTGTTTGTCCGCGAGCGGGCGTTCGTGCGGTCTCGTGTGGATCGCGAGATGGAGGCGTTGCTGCACGGCGTGGCGGGAGTCGTGCCGCCCTCCGTGATTGAACCTCCCATCCTGCAAAGTAAACCAGCCAATAAACAATCACAATCACAACAAGAAGGAAGAAAAGGTAAAAAAGTAGTATTACATGAAATCCCGGCTTCTTCTGCAGTGGGAAAGGCGACAGGGTTGCCATACAATCAAAAACAACAGCAACAGCAACAGCAGCAGCAGCAGTATCAACATGGGAAGATGTATGTAGCTGGAAGAGATCCTGCAGTAGTAGCATCACCGCGAAAAGAAATGGATGAACTTCCACGTGGATTTCCCATTCCCTTTGAAGACTCTGGTTTTCAATGTGTGATACAATGGGCAGAAACCAGTTTTCAAGAAGTGTTACTTACCGCACTTGGTCCACGATCTGTACGAGAACAACGCAGAGGAGCTGAAAAGCCTAATCGTCTTCTTGTAAGTGTAGCATGTCATTTACTGAATGAAGTTCTTAGTCGTGATTCTAAATACTCTATTCTATGGCCTTTACTTAGACAAGTGATATTTGAAGCTACTTTTACACCTGGTAATTTTCAATCCTTTCAAACTCCAGATTTTTCCGATTCTACTTTCTCCTATTCACCTTTTAAGAATTGTCATGATTTTGTAAACTTACACTTATGGTCTAATGCTTGTATATCTGAACGAAAAGAAAATGTTCAACTCTCTCAACGAATACTTCATATGCAGGATGTTGTTCGTAAGAGTCATTTAGTGCTTCGTCTTGCACAGAGACGTGTGGATCGTGTCTCGCTTGAACACACATTTCGTGCCTGGCGAACCACCACAAGAAGAACACGTGCCTTTCGAGAAGCCGCAATGGCATATTTATTGCGAGTGAGAAGACGTATTCAAGTGGAGGGATGTTTTTTACGTTGGCGGCGTATTGCCACTCAATCACATGTTGCCTCATTAGTGAAAATGTTAAAAGAGTCCGAGTTACGTGTAGCGTTTTTGGAAAATGCCAATAATACAGCAGTGGATACTTTATCCAAGAAACTATTAGAAGAACAGAGGAATAATGAAATATTAAAGAAAAGAAAAGAGGCACTCAAATCACAATTAGCAGAAAATCACGTATTAACCCTTCGAACTATGCATAATGAACTTCGACAGTTACAATATAATGTTCTCACTGCAAAAAAGAATGCAAAACGTTGGGAACGACTAGCGAAAACGTACACGTGTCAAACTAAAATTATAACGGTCTCTTCAACTGTTCGAAAAAGTGGTTTAGTGTTAAGACGTGTGGAGGATGAATTTGTTTCTCGTGCGGTAACGGCAAAAGATCGTCTTTCAGAAGCTCGTCAATGCCTAGAGACCTTTCTTCTGGATTGGGTAAACTTATTTATGCGAAATAGTACAGGTGGGGTCTTTTGGCATGCTGTCAGTAAAATAGATACAGGACTACATGAAGGGGATTTTGGCCCTACAGGTTTACTTAAACTAGTTCGGGCATTAGAATCCCTTTATATTGCTAGAGGAGCTAAACGAATGGTATATTTTCCTTCAGCAGTACAACGGGAAACGGATGTACTCACATGGAAACGAGAAAATGCTTCTGATAATTCATCCGATACGGTAAGTGAAACACTTTTTAAAGAAGTTAAACGTGTATTATACTTGCAAACTGCAGAAGGTCTCTTTCCTTCATTACTTACACACTGTTCTTTTCTTAACGATTTCTTTACACCTGCTTTATTTTGTAAATTTCCTCATCCAACCGCTATGCTGTGGGTACTGGCGACGCTTTTCATTGGATATGTTCGTACAGTGGGTGGGGGTCCAGTTACAGCAGAGCAGGATGTGGATTCACGCCTGCGTTGCCGTGGAGAGGATAGACTTAATAACTATGTGGTGGATGTTGTAAATGTAAAGGACACTGCAGGAACAGCTGAAAGAAATGCTGTTAGTATGTCCCATACGAATGTAAAAGAAGGTCGAACCTTTATTGTTTCGAATGACACTGTACTTAAAAAGAATGCACGATCATTTGTGCGTCGCAGAACTTTTATACGCAAACCCAATAGTGAAAATGGTGATGTCGATGGTTCTCAGGATGGAGAGAGACTGGTGGATACACTCTCAGACCTTGAAGTCTATCTTGGTCTCGATAATGCAGATGATGAGAGTAGTAGTAGCGACAGTAGCAATAATAATGATAGTAGTAGTAGTAGTAGTAGCAGGAGGAGTAGTAGGAGTAGTAGTCCTGCTGTTGGTGCTGCTGGTATGGGGGGTAATACCAATAATACTACTGGTACGGATAGTAAAGAGAATGTGAAGAGTACGGCAAATGGTACACAAGGAGATGGTACACCCAGTGATTTGCATTCCAACATGCATACTCCAGGTATATCCCCAAAGCCGGCAAAACAACAAATAGAAATGGAAAGACGAAAACGTGTAAAACGAAAGGCCCACTTAATTCCACCTGTTAGTACTTCATTAACTCAAGCTACACAACGGGAATATGTACAACTACATCAAGAAGAAAAGAAACAACGACGTATTTGGGCAGGTCTTGCTCGTGTTGTATGTTCTCTTATTGTGCGTTTTCATATTTTAGATTTGACGCCTTCACCCACATTGGAACGGAAAAAGACAACTTTAAATAAAAAACCAGTTGCATTAATGCCCTTATCTAATACATCTGGAAATGTTTCTACTCGATTTGGATCTGCACATCGTGGACAACGGAGGTCCGTACGATTAATGGCCTCATCACGGTCTATGGACAATTCAAGTAAGTCTTTTCTGGATAAACAGGGGGAGAGTGTGACTCTGCGAAGATGGTTGGAAGATGCGAAGGGGGGTCCGCATCAACGATAGTAAGTAATAATGGAAAAGTAATGAAGAGAGAAAAAGAAAGAAAGAAAGAAGAGAAATAAGAATAACCAGAGAAAAAGAGAAAATAAAAGAAAAAAAAGGGGGTACACATTTCTTGGAAAGGAACTGTCTGTGTATATATGTTTCTGTGTGTCTCTTTCTTTCTGTGTAATGAATGCATGAAAAGAGGAGATAAACTCCATCTCTTCCATGTTCTTTTTTTTTTTTTTTTTTTTTTCTTTTCTCTTTTTTTTCCCCTTTTTTCCTTGGAAATGATTGCATATATGATGTAAAGTGAATGAAAAAATCAGAGAGACTTTTCTCTTACCTAGTTTCCTTTTTTTTCCCCCTCCACACAACACCCACCCTTCTTCTTCCTTTAGGTACATTGTACCTGTATTTTGCTTGTATATGTCTACATTTTTTTTCTTTGTTATCTGAACGTATAAGGATTTCCTAAAAAGAAAAAAATGTTTTTATTACTCCAGTGATCTTGACGAATATGCTTTTCTTTTACCCCTTCTTAAATACTTCTTTTTATTAATAATACTTACGGGTCATTGGATATTACGCATAAAGGAAGGACACTAATTGAATATATATATATATATATATATATATATATATATATATAATTTGGCGAGGTCCAAGGAATCCGTAGTTGCGGTCGCAACAACAGAAAGAATAATAATAATAATAATAATAATAATAACCAGAGAAAGAAAAAGTATTCCGGCTTTAAGGTAAACGCACAAATCCCAATGTCGGATAATGATATTGAAAAGATCCAGCGCCTCACTGTTCCGCGTGGTGCCATTCGCCCAAAACTACAACCCGTTCCAGTCTCAGACTACCGGTCGGTAGTGCGACAAATAGAAAGGCGGGATCGGCGGGACCGTGCACGTGCGGCGATTGCTGCGGAGATGCGGGAAGAGGAAGCTGCGCGTCGTGTTTGTTATCAGAGATTTTGGGTAGGACTACTCTGTAGTCTGTTGTTGTTAGCCATCACAATGGCGTTAATGTACTCTCCACTCTGTCAAAATGCTGCTGTTGCATTTTTGAAGTTCATGAGAGAGTTGCTTGGGTTGTAAAGAGTGGGGGGGGATTTTCAGGGGGAGATTTGGTACAGAGAAGGTTTTCTTTCTCTCTTCCTCTGTTTTTTTTTTTTTTTTTTTGCATTTGCATTTCTTTGTATATCTGCATTCGCGTGGATAAACCAAAAAAAAAGAAAGAAAACATTACGAGGTTCCAGCTTAGATGAAAGACGAAGAAGAAGAAGAAGGGGTTAGAACTACCAAAATACAGAAAGAAAAAAAATAAAAAAAAAACAAAAGACAACAAATACGCAGACTGACAAAAACTCTCACTTCTCCCTTGGGTATGTATTTATACTTTTTTGTGATTACTTTTCCTTTCTTTCTTCCCTTTTCTCTCTCTTTCCTCTAATAATATTAATAATAATACCCTCAGCAGCGAAGGAGTGCCAATAGGAAGAAAAAGAAGAAGAATCAACGAGACCGAACCAAAAACGGTTTCCCCCGCACTCTAACACACAAACACACTAACAGTTTCTCTTTCTTTCTTTTCTTCTCTCTCTCACTCCCGTATATATATATATATATATATATATATATATATATATACACATCTCCTGCCATGTCGCTGCGGGAAGAGTGGGGTCGTCTAGTGGAGTCGGTGGCGGCGATGAACTCCACCGACGCGCTGCCGCGGGACTTCACGCCCGCTGAGTTCCTCCCGGAGGGCCGCGAGGTGCCGGCGGAGTTGTTGCGGGAAGTGCGGGCCAACGCAGCCGCCTTTGATGCCGCCGCCCGCGCACTCTACAGGCCGCAAATGACATTAGAGGAGGGATTCCACGCCGCCCCCACACCTTCACAGTCACGAGGCGCGGAAGAGGACGGCACTGGCGGACGCCAAAACAACAATACTACTACTACTAATAATAATAATAATAATAATAATAATAATACAAATAATAACAATAATAATAACGGAAATAATGGTGGATTGATGTCTGAGGAGGGACCGAACTTTTTTGAGGCATATCAGACACACGCGGTGGCTAAGGGGAATACAGACTCTACTGCGACAGTTCCATTTGGTTCAACTGCATCAGGCGTTGGGGTTTCGGGTGTTCCTCGTGCTTTTGGAAGTACGGCCCGTCTTGCTGCGGGATTTCTCTTACCAGAATATTATGCCCAGACCCATCGCCAACCAGATTTTATTCCTATCATCCTTGTCCCTTCTTCTGTTTCATCCATATTGCAACTCTTTAACATTCGTGAGTTTTTGGAAAAGGGAGTTTACATTGACCCACCATCACTCTTTGTGGATGCGGAAACTGGTGCGGTGAATGTCCAGGAGAATAAACCAGATGCTGTTATTGTTACCCCAGGAAGTTTTCTAGATCCTCAGAAGTACACCGTAGCATACAAAGTATTCCGTGTTGTGGATGATCCCAAACAGGTAAAGAATTGGCAGCACGTATGTGCATGCATTGTAGATGGACATGAATGGCAATTCCGTGGTTGGTTCCCAAATGAACCTACAGCTGTACCAGTGAGTGAACTGTTTCAGCGCGTGTGTGGGTTTTTACCTTACTTTGAAGAAGAGAAATTGCCAAAAGCACTGCAGGAGTGGAATGTTAAACCACTATCCCTTACGCGTCGTGTAGTGAAGGCACATGCGCACATTCTTCAGGCATCTGTCTTTTGGGAGCATTTGTACACATTCTTGGAGACACATCCGTTCTTCAAGTTGTATACAGTTCCACTAGATTGATTACATGTCCTTGATGCCGATGATTTTGTTGTTGTTGTTGTTATTGTTGTTATTCTTATTGTTGTTCTTTTGTTATTATGTATTCTTCTAGTCGTCTGTTGTTTGTTTCTGCGCTTTGATGAAGTGGGTTGCTGATGTTATTGTTTTTTTTTTTTCCCCTCCTTCTTTTTGATTTCCACTTGGGGAAGCGATGACTGATAGTGAAAGGGTCAGTTCCTGGAGAGCAATGAGGTGAGTAAAACGGGGGAAGAAAAAAAGGTAAAAAAAAAAAAAAAGGATAAGAGGTAAAGAAAGAACAGTGAAACGAAAGAGAGAAACATGCCTACGAGAAACTCTTTGGACTTGCAGGATGGATGAATGGATGGAAGGAAAGAGGAGAAAAAATGGATGGTGGCGTGAGGGGAAATGCCTACTCAGGAAACGAGAGTTAAAAACAAAAAAAAAAAAAGAAATAAAAAAAAAAAAAACAGTGAAAAAGACGATTGGATGTTGTGGGAGGCACAAACACATTTGTGTAGGTGGGGAGGGTCTCCTTTTTTTTTTTTTGTTTTTTTCTCTTGGTTATACGAGTGGGATTCTTCTGCAATAGAATCTTTTTCCTTTTTCTTTTTTTTTCTTTGTGAACTCATGTTTATATATAAATAAACAAGCAAATAAAAAAAAAAAATATCAGAAAGCACCCACTCTCTGATTCATTATTACAAGAAACAAGAGGAGGGAGTAATCGCCGCTTCCAGAACAACTTAACATATTCAGTTTTGTATTTTCTTCCCTCTATCAGATTTTCAAGACAGAAACAGTCGTAAAGCTAAGGTAAAAAAAAAAAAAAAAAAAAGAAAAAAGGAAGAGTTGTGTGTAGAAAAAAAAAAAAAGAAGTGGTGAGAAGGTACATTTACGTGATTAAACCTTTTTTTTTTTCTTCATTATCTTTTTTTTTTTTCTTTTCTTTTTTCTCGTTTATTTCCTTATTCAATGCTTCTCTATCTGTATGTATGTGTGTATGGCAGTAATCGTAGATAGTTAGCCGGATCACAGGAGTATTAACAGTAGCCATAGCACCCCCACATACACACATACAAAAAAAAAAAAAAACTCCGTAGTTCATCACAACCGTAATTATGTTTCGTCGTGTGGCCCGCCACACTTCTTTTATTGCTGGTATTCAATCTCGTCACACCACCATTCTCTCTGTACGTAAGGGCGATAAGGTGGTGTTGATTGGCGATCGCCAGGTGACCCTCGGTGAGCGCATTGTGGCCAAGTCGAGTGCATGCAAACTGCGTAAGATAAACGATGATGTTGTGATTGGTTTTGCCGGCAGCACCGCCGATGCGATTGCGCTGATGGAGAAACTCGAAAACAAACTCGGGGAGTTTCCCAATCAACTCACGCGAGCCGCCGTGGAGTTGGCGAAGGACTGGCGCACGGACCGCGCCCTCCGCCGCCTGGAGGCCTCTCTCATTGTCTGCAGCGGCGAGGCCACGCTGGAGATTGACGGGCAGGGCAACGTGATCACCCCGGAGGAGGACGGCATCGTCGCGATTGGCTCCGGCGGCACGTTTGCGAAGGCCGCCGCCCGCGCCCTCATTGACGTGGAGGGATATGACGCCGAGCGGATTGCACGGAAGGCCATGCGCATCGCCACTGAGATTGATGTCTTCAGCAATGAGCACTGGGATGTGGAGATCCTCACCTGCAAGCCAGCGAAACCAGCAGACACCACAACTACAACCACAACCACAACCACAACACCAAAGGTAGAAGGAGGAGCGGAAACCGCAAGCGAGGCGGCGAAGAGTGCGTAAAGAGGAGGAGGGGTGCTTCAGAGAAGGAAGGAAGAAAGAAAGGAAGGAACGGGAAGAAAAAGAAGGAGAAGAAGAAAGGAGAGAGGAGACGAATAGGCGGCGTGTACAGGGGGAAACAACGAAAGAACATAGAAGAATGCAAGTGAGAAAGAAAGAGAGAGAGGAGGAAGATGGAAGAGTATTGAGGGGAGAGAAAAAGGAAGGAATGAAGGAAAAAAAAAAATAATCAATAGAAGTGCAAAGAAAAAAGAAGAAAAATGAAAATAATAGAGAATAAAATAAAATATAGAAAGCACAATAAAGGAAGAAGAAAGGTTCTGTTTTTTTTTTTATGGGGAACGCGTATAAATGAAAAATGAATAGGAGAGTCAGTGCGATTAAATTTTGCATCACCAGCAATGCCACTACTACTGCTACTACTATGAGAAGTTACAAAAACGCACAAACACACACACACAAAAAAAAAAAAAAAAAAAAAAAAAAAAACACCTTTCTTTTTCCTTCTTTTTTCTTTTTGTGGCGGAAGTGGCTGCGAAACCAAAAAAAAAAAACAATGGAACACACACGTTCCATATTAAAGCAATGCCACTACTACTGCTACTACTATGAGAAGTTACAAAAACGCACAAACACACACACACAAAAAAAAAAAAAAAAAAACACACCTTTCTTTTTCCTTCTTTTTTCTTTTTGTGGCTCTTCTTTTTTCTTTATTTTCTTGTTTTCATAGCATTTTGTTTTTCCCATTAAATGCACTGAGATTGTTTTTTTCTGTTTTTTTTTTTTGTTTTTTTTTGTGGTCGAACTATCTTCTATGTTCTGTTTGCGATGTGTTGATCCAACCTCCCCTCGCTTCTTTTTGTTTATTCTAGATATTTCTTGTTTTCTATTTTTCTCCTGATGATTATTATTATTAATATTAATATTAATATTATTATTATTATTATTATTATTATTATTAACACTGGTGGGAGTCTTCTGGGTCACATACACACCGTACGTGTAAATATATTTCTCTGCTCCTGTGTTTGTCTTCCCTATTTCCCTTTCTTCTTCTTTTTCCCCTTATACGTATATATATATATATATATATATATATATATATATATATA